AACCCGGATGCTTTTGACAGCATCAAGGCCAGACTCCAAGAGGCCCCTGTTCTGGCCCTGCCGGACGAGACGAAGCCGTTTAGCGTTGTCTGCGATGCCTCCGATTACGCCATCGGATGTGCATTGCTGCAGGCCAACACGGCTGGACACGAACGAGTCATCTCATTCCAGTCCAGGCAGCTCAAAGCCGCCGAGCGGAACTACCCTGTCCATGGCAAGGAGCTCCTGGCAATGAAATTTGCCCTTGTGAAGTTCCATGTTCACCTTCTGGGCTCTAGGCCCTTTGTGATCAACACAGACCACGCGTCCTTGAGGACGGCGACTAACTCGCCTCACCTCTCCCAAAGGATGGCGAGGTGGCTGTCCTTCTTCGCGGAATACAACTTCCGCGTCGAATACAAGCCGGGCAAGCTCAACGTGCTTGCGGACGCCCTCTCTCGGCGTCCCGACTATGAGTTGGCCCACATTACGCGGGTGACAGCGGATCTATATGATCGGATACGCATGGCGTATCGGGACGATGAGGCTGTCGCGCCTATCGTCAAGTTCCTTATGGCCGGAACGAGCGCGAAGTCCGACTGGCTCTCGTCGCGGCAGCGCTCACGGCTCCACCGATATGAGTTGAAGGAGGGCCTCCTCTACTACCGGGTGAAGCCCCCTGATCCTCCACGGGTGGTTGTACCCAACGACGAGGATCTGAAGTTCGACATCCTCGCGGAGGCGCATGACGCGCCCTCCAGCGGCCACTCAAGCCGCGAGAGGACCTTTCTGTCGGTCTCTCAGTCCTTCAGGTGGACCCACATGTACAAGTGAGTCGCCCGGTACGTCAAGACATGTGAAACATGTCAGCGGGTCAAACCCGCAGGGCACTCTTCGGCTCCACTACAGAGCCTGCCCGTACCGGCTGACTGTTGGAAGTCGATGAGTCTTGACTTCATCTTTGGGCTTCCCGCCGACGGACACGGCAACACCGGAATTTTGGTGTTCGTGTGTCGGCTGAGCAAGATGGTACATCTTGCTCCAGTTCCCGTCACTGTTACGGGCGAACAAACCGCAAGGTTTTTCGTCGATGGCGTGTTCCGCTATCACGGTCTCCCGGAGACGATTGTCTCGGACCGAGACCCGCGGTTCACTGCTGCGTTTTGAAAAACGCTGTTCCCTTTACTGGGAACTCGTCTGCAGATGTCCACTGCGGACCATCCGCAGACAGACGGCCAAACAGAGCGCGCCAATCGAGTGCTCGAGGACACTCGCGCAGTGTGTGCGCGGCAGCACCACGTACGTGGTCGACGCAGCTTCCAGTTGTTGAGTTTGCGCTCAACAACGCGGTGCACGCTTCCACGGGGTTCACGCCGCTCTACTTGAACGGCTTCCGCCACCCCAGAGTGCCTCTCACTCTTCGAGGAGACACTGACTCCTCTATTCTAAGTGGGGGAAAGGCTCGGAAAGCCCTTTCCTCCCAGGTCTCGGATGTGAGACCAGTTTCGCTGCGGAAACAGGTGGAATCCTTTATGGATACCAAGCTGAGCGTGATCAGCAGGGTCCGCGATGCCATGGCAGCGGTCCAGGACAGACAAATGCAGTACTCTGACAAACATGGAAGAGGAATCTTAAGTGTATTTAAGGTGGGTGAACTAGTGTTACTAGACACAAGGAACCTACCGCTAGACACGGTAAGCTCTGTCGGCAGCAACAAGCTAAAGCACCGCTTCATCGGACCTTTTGCAGTCCTGGCCAGACATGGTGCGTCGTACACCATCGACCTTCCAAAGTCAATGACGACGCACCCGACGTTCTATGTCGGACGTCTTAAGCGGTGCTTTGACCCGCAGGGGGTTGCTGACTCGCAGACCCCCCTTGACCCAGCTCCTCGAAGCGAGGGCCGGTCACAGTCGTCGACGAGGTCGTCGGAGCAGGCACCCAAGCCTCGGTCGGGACGGCAAGGCTGCGGTCAAGACCGTACGCCGGAGGGGCTCCATACGAACGAACCCCGACGCCATACGCCGAGTACGCTGAGTACGCCGGGTACGCACCATACGCGTACGTCTGGGAGTGGGCTGCAGGCGGCTCCGGACGTGGCAACAAAGCCTCGATCCGTCAGATCATGCGAAAGGCCTCGTCCAGATCGGTCGAAAAGGCCCGGCGATCCACCCGCAGGTGCAGGCTCGCGACCTCTCGCTCCAGCAGGCCCAGGCGGCCCGCAAGACGAGCGAGCTCGCCCTGATTCCCGGCCTGGGCGGCAGCATTACCGCCAGTTCCAAGGCCAAGTGCAATCTCAAGCATGAGGACACGTTGACGGATGCGGTCAACCTCAGGGTCCTGTGTCGGACCCGCAGTCGGAGCACTCGGACGAGAGTGGCTCTCGGGAGGCGCCGAGTACTCGTACTCGTACGAGGGCACCTCCGCCCCTGCTTGACCGAAATGGAGAAGTCTACTACCACGTGAAGCGGATTCTCCAGGAACAACGGCGTCGCGGTAAGCGACAGCTCCTCGTGAAGTGGAGGGGTTATGCCCACTCCGAGAACTCGTGGGAACCGATTGAACGGCTTCTGATTGACTGCCCAAAGGCTGTCGCAACCTGGGAACAGAAGCGGCGGCAGCTTCATAAGTAGTCCGGGGCTTCTTGCCCGAACGGGGTACGGACGATGAATACATACCGTACCCGCGCTCATCGTGAGCGCTAGAAGCCGCGCGCTTCAGGATGTCCCTTGGCAGTATACGCTTGCTGATCAAGTGGGCAAACCTCACACGAAGATCACGCTGGTCCAGGATGCGGGACAGCAGCTGATCTTCATGGATTTCCCGTAACTCCGTGGGTGAGTACTTAAGAGTCTCCACCCACGCCCAGAACATGTCCTCACAAGAACTCCACGTGGGACAGTTCTCGGGCATAACCCAGGGGTATCCCCAAAGTGGATAGAGACCACCCCGGGTCTCGGGCTTCTTACGACAAGTCGTGAAGTCCTTAAGGGGAATAGCGAGAAGCACACACCGAGCAGCCTCCAAGTTGTCGACGAGCAACTGTTCTTTCTGAACAAGGGCTCGTTCATAGATGCCCCTAGAAGTGTGGCCGCCCACAAGGCCACGAGGAGCGACGAGAAGCTCTAAGAAGAGGTCAGCCCCAGAGCTCTCCTCGGGAGGCCAATACCCTCTTGAGTTGATGGCAGCTCCCTCGCTGACGGGTGCTACCACCGAACCCCCACGCACACGCTGGGCAGCTTGGAACTCCTCCTGCTGCTGGTCGAGGTCATTCGAGACCTCCCGGGGCTCAACGATAGCACCCTTCTCTTCCTCTTCTTCCTCCTTCTCCTCCTCTTCATCCGAGGAGTCGAAGATACTCCGATAGGAGCGACGAGTCTCCTTCTCCTCGCGGAGTGGAGACTTAGAGGCTGTACGCTTCTTTGAGGGCTTGGCGCCTTCGGCTTTAGAGGCCTTAGCACGCGCAAGACCCTCGTCAAGCGAGAGACGTTTGCGAGGATTCTCTTCCTCATCGCCACCGGCTTTGGGAGCGCCCTTAGCCGTGACGGCCGGACTCTCAGAGCGCACAGTCGTTCTGGGACTGTGATCACCTTGATCACTAGCGAGCGACTGCACGCTGTCATCTTTGTGCTCACTGGGCACTGGTCTGTGCCCTCCCACAGAGTCCGCAGGAGCATCGTGGGTGCTCTCGGACTCGGCATCGTCCTCACTGCCCGAGTTGAGCTCACGTTCCACGAACCGAGGGTTCGGACGATTATCTGAAGACGAGGGCGAGGGGCTGCGGCGATTGCTTGCGCGCTTGTCCGCAGCCGCGTCACCCGAGGAACCGATCGCCTCGGAGGCCACCTGAGTAGCCTCCTTGAGTGCAGAGCCTTTGCCGTGAGGCTTAGTGCTTTTGGCCTGCGCCTTACCGGCAGCGGCCTTGGAACGTGTCTTAGCACCGCTCTTTGCAGTGCCACGAGGCATGGTAACGGTCGAATTGGAGACCTAGACGAAGAGCGCACAGGTTGTTGCTCGAGGCTCTAACTGTGAAGTGAGCCTCCGCCGCGCTCGCGCGGCCAAGTCGATGGTTTTCGACTTTGAGAATGAGAGTTTGTGACGAACACCTCTTCATTCTGATTGGTCGGTAAGCCGAACCTAAGTGGGGGAGGATGTAACGGGTACGTAGCCCTAAGTGTACCCTGGTTACATGAAGTGTGACACTTCACACTTCAGGAGTATGACACGTCATACTCCGGGATATTTGGTACAAGGTATTAAGGTCGTTCAAAGCCAACCATTGGTTAAACGACATTGCAATTCTATAGGTAACTTATAGTTTGTATTAAACCCAAACTTAACTTAACCTACCTATAAATATACTCAGTTTACAATCTACCTTATATAGGTCACTTCGCTCTCTTTAAATAAAGAGGGGACCTGTGAACTGCCGTTCACTGAGAGTTTGTATACTCTCGGAAGATAACTTCCTCTAGCGCAAGGTGCTGTGTGACCCCGTCACAACATCAAAGCGAAACTGCTGCCTACAGTCCTCGTCCGATAGAGTTGTGACGCAAAACCTCACCTCTGGGATGATCGGACGCTCAGACTGTTCGAAGCTGAGTAACAGAGCTGCCTCCGCAGCCGTAACTGCGTCGCCGAGGAGCTCGTGGAGCAGGAGGAGCAGCTCCATGCGGGATGAAAAGTGATTGGTAGTGGAGAGCTTGAACAGATTTGGGAGAGTTTTGGTCTGAAGATATTGAATCCTGCAAAAGCTCGTAATGTGGATGCTGCACATTATCTTTGCCCAATGTTTTGTGCAGCGACAAAGACTATTGCGAAAAGTCTCTAATGACGTCCTGCCGTGAGTTATTTGCAATAAAATGTATGCAGGTGCACAAAAAGCTACTGTACATGTACACGAAATGATTTAGTTGCTCGAAAATGTTTTTGTGCATTTCGGGCACCGCACGAAACAACTGTAGCTTTTTTTAGACCGATCTGGCGAAAATGCATCCAGTCGGCACCGTGCTCGAATTCTAATGGTAGCAGACGGTAGTGGCGGCCTAGTGCTCACGCCGGCGCAACGTATTCTCGTCAACAAGAGTCGTGCTGTCAAGCAACAGCGAGCAGTGGCTCTCGAAGCCCAGCACGAGCTCGACGCCAGGGCTCGTGCGCACAAAGAAGAGATCAAGAGTCGCTGCCAGTCTCAATACGCACCTGCACCTACTGCTCGACGTCTCATTCTACGTCATGTCGGCGAAGAGCTAGCGCGCGTTGCATATCGAGAGCAGCACGTGCTGTCGAAGACGCCACATCACCTTACCAGTAACAACAATCGCACGACGCTCAACCCTCCTGCACCCAGCAACCATCAAGATCAAGCACAGCAGAAGCCGCAAAGTTCAGACGACGACTACGACGAAGAGCGTTTCGGCCCCGTGCGCCGTCCTCCTCGCAAGCAGCCGCCGAACCTTTGGGTGCCGGTATGTGTCGGACTTTGCATCTTCTACTAAATAATCATATGGCTCGACTAAACAAATTCTGTGACATGTAGATCTTTGAGCAAGAGGTGGCCGAGGTGCAACAGGCCAAGGAGGAAGCAGAGCGCAAGCGGCTGGCGGCAGCGGCCGAGTATCGCGAGCGGCTCGACAACCAAAAGGTCGACAAAGACCGCAAACGGCTGGAGGAGAAAGCTGTGGCTGATGGCTACGCGCGAGCGCAAGCCGCTCAGCAAGTCGCGTGGCGCGAGCAAGAGAAGGCAAAGCAGAGGCAGCGCCAGGACCAAGTTGTGCTGGAGGCGCAGCGCTGGCAACAAGATCTTCGTGCGCAAGCTGAGGCGCTCCGTGTGGCGCAAACAACCAAAGAGCGTAACGAACGCCGTGTGCTCGAGAGACTACGTATGCTGGACGAACAGGACAAGCATCGAAAGGCGGAGCGCAAAGCTGCCGACAGGGAAGAGGTCGTCCGAGTCAAGCAAGCCAATGCCCAGCAGCTGGAACTTAAACGACAGGCCGTACTGCGGTCACAGCGACAAGACCGCGAGCTGCAAGAAGCTTACGAAAGGAAGCTCGAGCTGCAAGAGGCGGCGCGTCGTGCTGAGCTCGATGCGATCCTTGTGAAACAGAGTCACAAAGTGAAGCTGGCTCTTCTTAACGTCAAGAGCGCCGAGGAGAAGGCACGCGAGGACGAGGAACGTGCACTGGCGGTGCAGACAGCTATGCGAGCTCGAGAAGCTGAGCTGATTGAGCTCAAGGACCGCAAGAAGCGTGAGGCTGCCCGTGTGCAAGTGCAGGCATTGACGCTGCAGAAAGAAGACAAAAAGACTCGACGACTCTCCGAGGAACGCGAGGAGGCAGTCTACGCGAGCAAATCCAGAGCAGATTTCCACTCGTGGCAACAGGAGCAGGTGGCTGAGAAGGAAAAGGTGCATCAACGCAATCGCGATTACCAAAAGCTGGTGCGGCAGCAGATGAGTGAGGATACGATGCGCAGAGCTGACGAGGACAAGTACGGAATGACTCTGTTGGAGGCCGAAATAAACACCAAGCTGCTGCATAAGGCTGGAATCGCCGCACTGCCAGAAGATATCCATCGCAAGTATAATAGTTACTTAAAGTATTGAATTGTACATGGGAAGAATGCATTGTTACTTTTTCTGTCTGCCGCTCTGAGCAAAATGAAAATGTAGCTGGAACCCACTGCCATCAGTTGCAAATAGTATTTTACTGTACCACCACATGCAGGTTTGCTACTGACCTGTCCCAACGAATACGCGTCGTTTCACTATAAAGTATAGAAGGAAAAGTGACCAGTCACGATTGGGTGAATGAAAAATCGAAAAGAAATACCCCCCTAAGGTATCCAACCACTAGCTCAAGGGTGCTGCCCTATCGACAATGCTGGAACAATACTACTGTAGTCTCACGAATACAGCGATTCAACTTGGTCTTGAATAAGAATCGGTATAGTGTTTGGCATGACTGAGCAGATTGGTTTTTATGTGATATGTGTATCCCGGTAATGCCGGTATCTAAATAAGTGCCGAAACTATTACAGTAACCCTTCTTAAGTTAAGCTATTGCAGTCACCGCTTCCCAGCGATGACTGTCGAGCATGTGAATCATCCACGTCAATACAACTTTTTGCTTGTCTTCGCTGCTTGATATCAGCATGTTTGGTCGGCGCTGGTACAGTTCACTGTCGAAACGTGGTTTCACTCGCTCGTCGTTTCAATTGGTCGAAAATCGCGGCATCTGGTTTCTAACTTCCGCCTTCTCGTCCTTACTGAACACAAGTCATTTTGTTCGCATTCCTCCTTCCGGTAATATGCGCAGCCGCTGGGTCGACTCGCTCAAGCGCGGCATCTCGGCGTCCCCACGGCCAGATGAGCGCTCGCCTCAGCCCTCGGGGACCCCATATGCTCCCACTCCGAGCTCCACGCTGTCCTCAGTGTCCGCACCGAGCCTTAACGGCACCGAAAACCCCTCATATGTCCACGATACCGACCGTTGCGACTCCATCGGTGCCTGCAGCGTCGCTCGGGTGCTAGAGAACTGCGTATTACAAGGTGGAGTGCACCACACGCATATGCATGTACTGACGTATCTGGGACGGCCACTGCGCTCCGAGTGCTGCTGTTATCCCGTGGCCGTTCAATGGTTCCGAGCTGTGGGGGAGCAGGACGATTTCCAGGTCATCCCTGGAGCTTGCGACGAGTGGTACACACCCACAGCAGACGATATTGGCGCCAGGATTTTGGCAAAAGTAATGATCGAGGACGAGGACGTTCTTAAGACTAAAATGCTCGAGTACGGACCCATCAAAGAAGATCCAGAAGTCCGTAGCAAAGTCGAGATGTATCTGGAGCGGAAATCCGTGCTGTTTATGGGACTACGAAGCATTTCGGTACAAGACAGCAGCGAATACTTAAACGAAGAGGAACTGAGAGTACGACACAGCGTTGACGACCGAGCAGATGGAGATAAACTCATTTTTCAACTGATTATTTCGTAGGAGAGCTGGACGCTGTTAATCGACGATCGGAGGGTCCGATTAACGTGTGAATCGTCACTTATCCCGCCATTCGAAAGCCTCTACACACCAGATATCAAGGTACATTTGTCTCGTCATCACCTTTTTAGATTTATTTCTAATTGAATCATGGCTACAAAACAGTTAGAAATGGTCCGCGGCTCTCCAAACGAGTTCTACCTTTATCTGGCTCAAGGATGCTACGTGCGTCTCCGTGCCGAGTCCAACACCGTGCGAGATATCATCGTACTTACGCTGCGCGCCTTCTGTAACATGGCAGTGTCGGACGAGACGACACACGAGGCTGTTGCACGCGGCTTGTCTCCCATGCTGACACTACGCAAGATTGCTCAAGACGAAGAGAGCAAGAAGCAGCCCCTAGTAGGTGTCAGTGCAAACTTCGGATTGCTGGGATTGAGTTGCATGCTGAGGTTATACACGCCGTCTCTTGATTTCGACCAGCAGACTCAGGAAGCTCCTCCCCCTCCGCCACCGCCAGCGCCAGTATACGATCTACCGTGGAACCGATCAGCGATTAACTCGCTCAGTATGGACCCAGAATCTACAGCTACAAGTACCGTAGTCGAAGAACTAGACGAGTCGCTTGGATCAGGCAGCAGACGACCAAGTATTGCCAGCAGTATAGGCATGGGAGGTGATGGGTACAGTGAAAGTTTGGGGGATTCGCTGCTGATGGACGCTGAGGCGTTGATAGGCAACGCGCAGAAGATGGGGATCCAGTATCAGATACTCCCACGCGCTCCGAAGCGAATTTCTATCTTGGATATTCCAGATTTACAGATAATTGAAGCGATGGAGGCTTTGAATGAGCAGATTCTTCCCGATGACAAGATGCGACAGCAGCAACGAGACCAACGTCGTCGTCGAGGGAGTTATAGCAGCGCAGGAGAAGCCGATTCGGAAGAATGTGCAAGTGGCAACAATGTCGATGGAAATGTTGTTGCCATGCCAGAGATGGTGGATGCGAGTTGCATAGATAAAGCGATTGCGGAATTTATGGCGGATGACAAGGACAGTGTATATGTGGCAGCGCTACGAGAACAATATGTTGCGATCTTCTGTTCGTTGCAACGCGAGTTGCACACTTATAAGCAACGCGTCGTGACTTTATCCAAGCAACTTGAAGAGAAACAGGAGCTCAACTCGAGTTTCCGCAAGGACATTGAGTCTTTGCGCAGCGCTCTCACGTCCATGCAACTCGCTGATAAAGTGTACGATCTGGTGTCTACCGACCTGCAACAACTTGTGAAGCGAAACGCCGCTGAACCTGAGCAACCTGTCCCTAGTGTCTCATACTGAATACGTGAGTTTACTACCCAATTTGAGTCAATATAGGTCTTTTAACCCCCTCAGCACAAATAATTGCCACAATAGAGAAACATTTTAACCATTCCCCGCACATATTCTTCATCATTATTTGCGCTCTTTCCTCCTCTTCTCGTTGTCCATCTACTGACGCTTCTCGAGTGCCTCGATCCGCTTGGTGAGCGTCTTGTTCTGCGCGATCATCTCGTCCTTGAGGCTGCCCACAGAGCTCTGGATCTGCTGCGTCGACTGCTCCACGTCCTCTGAGAGCACGTACAGACCGTAGCCAGCGCCCACGGCTACGCCAACACCGAACGACACGATGCGCTGCATGAAGGAGCTGCCGCCTTTCTTCACCACCACGGGCGCAGGCGTGGGAGCCACCTTGACAGCCTCCTCCTTGGCATCCGAGGCGAAGCGACGCACGAGACCCCGCGACTTGGCGACCTTGGCAACCTGAGAGCGCAGCATCTTGACTTGTTACTTCACGTCGGGATACAAATTGTGGGGCGTGTGGCTTGAGAGATTGAGCACATTTTTGGTCTAAAATAAAATTTAGTCCATAATGAAAATAGTCCGATAGCTAACCAGATCTGGGGTAAGTGGCTGGTAAAGTTGCCGCGTGAGAGGCCATTTTCGCTTTCACCGGCAAACCATCTAGCTATTGGAAGAGGCAACAATGCCGGACTGTGACGTTTGTGCCTATATGAACAATATACATCCGTCTATCGGGTTCATGTCATTTCGGGCGGGGTTGTCGCGAGTCGGCGTCGATGCGCTGAAGGCTGCGTGTGAACATCGCATTGGTCCTACCAGTGTTCTTGGTCTACAACTGAGAGATCAGTTTATCGATCTGCTGTGGGAGGGCTGCTTGGAATTGCGCAAGGCTGGGGCGCCGGCTGCGGCAACTACAAGCAAGAATCAACGAGTGGACTCAGACACGACGCGTCTGGAGCGAGGCGACCCCAAAAAGCAAAGGACTGATGAGACTGTCGGTGCACCAATCGACAGCGTTAATCTCGCTGTGGAAGATGTCGAAGCTATAGGACCTCTCCATGATGAAGAGTTTACAGCGAACAAAGCTTCAGTTGCCGAGCTTTTGGAGGAGGTCAAGCGTCTGCGATCTGATAACCGAAAGTTCGCGGTGAGCCAACAGCAACTCAGTGAGAGGCAGCAACAGCTCATACACAAGCAGAATGAACTGGTCGAGGTAGTGCAGCGACTGCAGTCTCAGCAAAATGTAAGTGACCGTCTTCTGTGCACGGTGTACGACCGACAGCGATCTCCAGCGAGCAGACACCTCTCACAGTTGATTCAAGAAGAGCAAAAAAACACAAAAAGGCAACAACCCAAAGTAAAGTTTTGAGTCGTAAATTTAAATTGCAATCAAAATGAAGTCTTCCGTTACGATTGTTGCCTTTTATGGACGTTTTCGGATGGGCAAGAAGCAAGCATCAATATGCACCCGATAGGAGGCAACAATGGAGCGGACCTTACACAGCTGCAGCGGGAATACCGCAACATGGAGCTCAACCGCAAGGTGTATGCGGACGAGAGTCACCAAGTGATGCGCAGACAGCAAACGGTGATCGAGAAACTCCGCAAGGACAATGAAGAGATGAAAGCCGAGTTGACGCTAGCTGAGCGTCACATCAATGAAGGCGCCGTAGCTCAGCAACAGGAGCATATTGCCCGTTTGCAGGACCAGATCGACAACTACAACCGCAAAAATGTGGCAGAGGCAAAAAGGTTGGAAACTCTGACGCAACAGATCCAAGTCATGAGACACAAAGTATTGCACCAAAAGAAACACATGGGTGGCGTCAATGCGGCAAAGGAAAACCAGCAAATGATAAGCAAGCAAATTCGCATCCTCGAAAACCGACTGGACAAGTCACTAGTAAAATTCAACGAAGCACTTGCACAGAATAAAGTTCTGCGTGAAGAAATTGACAATTTGAGGCGGGAACGAGTTGTATTTGACACAATTTACCGCAAACTTGAACGTGAACATGGAGACAAGAAACGACAAATGGCGCAAACTATCGAACTCAGTAACCAAGCTTACGAACAGCGCGACGCCGCACAACTCGAGCTTCGAAGTCTTCAAGAGGAAAACCGTGCTGAGCTCGACGCGCATCGTCGAGCCTTGACCGAGCTGATGGAAAGACTTGAGGAGAGTAAAATACTCGCAGACACAACAAACTATCGACGCGGGGCGTCCTCGGCTGGAGGCGCTCCTGGCGCATCCTCCGATTACGCTGGCAACATGTCAAGGGAGGAAGAGAATGAGATGAAGCGTAAAGTGCAAAAAGGGACGTGGGGTGTGGCAAAGGAAAAGGTGCATGTTCAGGTTTCCATCGAACGTGTGCAAAATTTCGAAGAGGCGTTTATGAAGATCAAAGCGGCAACACGAATCGACGATCTGGAGCAACTCGTTACGTCGTTTATCAAAAAGGAAGACCAGAATTTTTCACTTTTTAACTATGTCAACGAACAAAGCAACGAGATTGAGAAACTCGAGGAATGGATCGCAGCGCTACGTGATGAAGAACGTCGTTACGGCGACGGAGCCAATGGAGTTGCAGATGAAAATGGTGTTGGCCAACACAAGCAATTGCTACGTGACTTGGAAACTCGACTTGCACTCACGGAACAAGCAGCTGAAAAGTGTGAGACTCGTTGTGCAGAAGCTCAGAAGACAGTGAACACTGTCAAACGTGCAATCCAGAACTTGTTCACTAAAACTGGATGCAACGCACAAGCCATGGTGGAGATGTTGGGCGATTCGGTAGTCACGGAAGCGAACATGATGGCTTACTTGGGTGTCATTGAGCAGAAAACCAATGAGATTTTGCACCAGTACGCAGCAGTTGTCACTAGGCAACAGGCAGATGCCCAGAAGAGCAAACCTACCAGTGATGCCTATGATCGCGAATCACAGTTTGCAGCGGCAGTTGGAGCTGCAGGCGGCACGAACGGGGCTGTGGCGACTTTGCATTCGATCCTTGGGGTCGGTCCGATTGCACCAATGGGTCAGGAACCGCTACAGATCAACCCGCCAAACCTCGACGATTATTCCTCCGAGGGTGAAGATAGCGGAGATAATGACGACGCGATGCATCCTCTCACACGAGACGAACTCAAAGTGCGTACACTCAAGGGCATGCGGCGTCTTAACCATGCAAATGTTCCGCAACCAGGAATTGGCAACAATGCCAATTTCAATGCCAAACGTGCCGCAAATGCAACTTTTGCAACATCCACAAAGCTCCGGAAATAATTGTTGCCTTTAGGGTTTCACTTCATGAAAATGCAAATTATCTTGCTTGGTAGTACTTCGATTAAGTTTGCGTTTTTATGTGTGTTTCAGCGTTGTTGCTTATTCTATTAATCGGTGTCGCAATAGAGATAGAGTCTCGAGAATGGCACGCGTAGGTCAAGATGCACTGCGCAGAACGGACAAATGGCTCTGCCATTAGGCATCAGTAGCGCTGAATAGTGATGCGCGAGTTTGGTGCTGATCGCATGGCCACATGGATTAAAAACACACTCGGGAACGACATGTTGCTCTTCCGTCGACTGCAGTTGCGAATTTTCTTTCAGTAGCAATTGCACTAACGACCCTGGCGTTCGACAGAGGGGACACGTGTGCGAACTGGCAATCCGCTTTTCATAGCCAAATACATGTCCACACGCAGTAAACACATGCGGAATCTGGTTCAATGGCACCTCTTCACTCGGAGCTGCACGCGTGAAACGCAGCGAGTGCAACTGCACTGGACACTGGACGTTAAGACGTTCCATCTGTGTACTGATAGAGGACAGCGTTGCTCGTCCGTAGACCACAGGAGCCTCGAGAAGTTCATTGCTTTCAGCTTTGGTCTCAAGCTCGGAGCGGTAGCTGGTCTGGAATTGCAACTGGACGCCGCCAAGGTCAATCACCGCGCCGTCTGTCAATATCGGGGGTAGATCCTCGGCACCAGTAGCTGGACGATTAAACGCACCACTACGTGACCGCAACGCGCTAGCATGATGACGTCTACGATCCGAATTGGAGCTTGATGACGCATTTGCAGTGGCATCTGCCGTTCTCGACTCGATCGCGTACAATCTGCCATTCACCGAGACCTCAAACCACTGTTTATGTTCTGGCAGCCACAACCGGACACCGTTTTTCGTTAATCCATCGAGTGGCAACTCATTTGCATCTTGTAGATCCACTTCGAAATGTTCCAGTGGCCCATCCTCACTGGTTTCGTCAATATAGTGCTTCACACTGTTGCTACTTTTCACGTTGTGGCGGATGAATCCTCTTTCCGCATCTCTGGCCTGTTCCATCAGTGTCTTCATGACACATGTGTGATCTGTACCCAGTCGTTTGGACCACGCGCCACACCGCACACAGTGTTTTAGTGCATGTCCAGCTGTACTCATACGTCGAGTAGCATCAAAGCCGCCAGCAAAGATGCGACACTCAAAAGGAGGCTCTCGAGAGCACAAAATCCTCGCCGCATAGCGAGAAATAGTCCCAGATGCGCCGACTCGCGGTCCGGGGATCACAAAATCATTTTGACGACATGGCATTCGACCGATTTGGAACAAATCGAAATTTGGGTCGGAATGGAACTCCGTGACACTGGCAAATGGGTCTTTGTCATTCATAGGGACGCACATTTGGTACGGTGCGATACCCAATTCGTCTTCTGATTGGTTGTCGCTTGGACGACTACGCGCTGTCTCGATGCGTTGCATGATGCGCGTGGTGACGCCTTTGACGTCTTTAGTTTTGTGTTTATTGTCTTGAAACTCCTCAATTGGAATAACGTGGTGGAAACGATGAAAGCGAACGCCGTTGGCTCGAGAACGCTTCTCCAGTACGTAATGCGCGTTCTGGTCACCCAGAGGCTTCCACAGCTGGCCAAGCGAGCGCTTGCGACTCATGGACGCCTCGTCGGTGGCGTCAGAGAGACCGAAGGACGGCGGGGCCACCTCCACACTGCCACTGCGAGAGCGTCGCACCATGTCCACGCGGTAGCTGCTGTAGCCAAGCACTACGAGACGTCCGTACTCCATCGCCGGTCAATTGAGAAATGAGAAGGCAACTAGCCAGCCAGGACTGATATAGAGAAAGAAAAAGTGACTTTTGAACTCTGGATTGGAGCAAATAGTGGCGTTTTGTATGTACGATATGACAAAATAGGATACAAGTCTACGAAATGATCAAATTTTGATAACGGATATTGTCCAAGGATTTTCTAATTTTTTGTTGCCGAGATTATTGCTGGAACTTGTCGTTCAGCTCAAGTTCGTTCATGCCCGACACAGGTCACGGAGAGAAGCCGGGCGGGAAAATGCTGGCGTGGAAATCGTCATCTTCCTCGAATGCTTCAAAATCGACTGGCGCTTCTTGTAGTTTTTCAACTACCTGCGAAAACTGCAGCAACGAATCCTGTATTTTTAAAGAAAAATAGTTAAGCCGGATAGATTTTGTTTTTGCAAGGCTGGTATCGTACCATGATGGCAGAGCTCTTTTGTTCCATCGACTGGTCGATTCGTACTGGACACCGTTGCCCCACAGTCATGGAGCGTCTGGACGTGACTGAAGCTTTAATGCCTTTAGAAATGGAGGATTTGCGTTGAGTGGTATTGAAAGAACTGGTCGTCGCATCCAATGAACGTTGGAGATTGAGGATCGTGAGTCGCATACTCTCAAAATCGTTTGCGACTACTAACTGCTCCTGCGACAGCGTAAAAGGCTCCGGCTTGCGAGCGGAAGGGTGCTTGGTTGCTTGCTTGTATTGCGAAACCATGCTGAGGGTGGTCTTATTACGCCAAGAAAGGGATGTTCCGCCCTAAGAAATATGTTTGACAAGCATAGATAAGCAACGTAACCACTGTTGCAATGCAAACCCTTTACCTTCTTGATGATCATTTTTTCCATGTGTTGCTCGTACAAGGAGTAAAATTGTTTTCCTACTAGCGACAGAGGCATGGCTGAGTATATGGTAGCTACGATGATGACGAAAATATCAAAGAATTTCCCAATGGAAGTTCTAGGAACGTGGTCACCGTAGCCAACCGATGTCAGACTGTAAAATGTAGCATAAGGTGAGTGCAATTATAAAAAATCAAACATAAAAATAAACGTTACGTCGTGTATGAGAGCCACGTAGAGTGGATCATGTCGATAATTGTCGATTTCAACTTGTCTTGGATCAAAACTCGCTTCCCAATCGGAAGTCCTTCGACCAGCTCAGGTGTCAGCACGTCTTTGTTCCACCACATACACACTTCTCCAACGAAGCATTCTTTGCCGCGTTCAATTTCGTAGACCATCGCACCAGCAATAATACATCCTGTAAATAAAAAGAAGAGCTGTGGGAGAGAGAATGGGAACATGAGCCACTTTCTGGATTCACAAACCGTCGACGTACCGGGATAACGAGAGGTTTCCAGACTTTTATCGCTGTGGATGCTAGCACTTTTGTCCCGCGAAAGTGCTAAGTAAAAGAGCAAACTAGCGTTAAATCTAAGAGACAAAAATTGTGTTGTGAATAATAACGTACCCGCGTGAGTTTAAGAATTCGCAATATTTTTAGCACTCGAATGACCGACAGGAATGATGGTGATGTGGCAACAATTGCGTAGTCTGGCTGAATGCGTGCAAATAAAAGTTCCACGACCTCGACGAAAAATGGCACGATTGCAACCACGTCGAATATAACATAGACATTTCTCCAGAACTGCTTCCGGTTTTGGGAAATATAAAACCGAAGAGCCAACTCCAACGTGAACCACATACCAAACCACCACTCAAAGTAGATCCAGAATGGCCCCATGTCAAAGATCATGTTAAACGATCGTCGGCATTGCTGGCGGTAACACACCAAGTCACCACCAGCGTGAAGAAATGCATCCTGACACGCCAGCGCGGACGCATTCAAAGATCCAAAGTTCAATCCGTTCCCATAGCACTCTGGCGATTCGGTAACGCTAGAGCAGGAAAAGTGGAGTCGTTTGGTGAAATCACTCGTACCATCCTCGAAACGCAAGAAACACGCAGAGTCTAGATCACGGAATCCTGTTTCCCTGCAATAACTCTTCACAACAGATCTGCAGCCATTCGTTTCAACACCACTTGCGGCCAGCTCTTGCAACGATTCTGAAAAGAAAAACATAATGCTGACCAATGCAAATCCTACCATTGCTCGGTTCACTATGGCAGCCAGTCGCGAAGAATCTGGCACTTCTAGCAACAACCACACCCGTCCTCGAAGTGTTTGTGACGCCATATTTGGGTCAACAACGGTTGACATATGGCCCGATCTCACCTTCGCCTTGATCATAGCCTTCTTCGCCTTTGCGTACATACTACCTAGCACTCCATGTTTGGAATCCAGACCCATGCGAAGCGATCTTCGCCGGTGTGGAATAAATAATTGTAGCAGTTCAACAGCTTCCGCATGTATATCCATCAAGCGACTAATGCCTTCCTTGATCTTTTCCAGATGATCAGCCTCAGTTGCGAGCATTTCCATTGTCATTGTCATGGATTCGGAAGCTGAACGCGTAAAATTGTGGATATGGTTGTGTACAACTGACCACGAGTTCAATAAATGGTATTGGATATCACAAAGTCGTCTCGCGTGACTGTGAAGTTTTTGACAATCAAAAGGAGAGAGAGAAGCATCGAGAAAGCGAGCCTTCTTCTTCTTCTTGTCCAGCTGAAAACTCTCATACGTAAGCTGAAAATTATTGCCAATAATCGCCACAGGCATCGAGAAGTAAATCTGCCCGAGAATCATTGCAATCATCGTCAGCATGACTGAGCCAGGGTTTCGTAAAGAGGGTACTTGGTTGCCATAGCCCACGGTTGCGACCCTGCAATAAACGAAAAATAAAACAAGAAGAATAAACAATTAATTAAAAAATAAAGTGCGACATAAAATACTTACGTCACCATCACAAAATACGCCGAGTTGAAGATATCTGTAAATGTGCAAGTCTCGACATTGTAGCAGGGCTCAGCGTAGAAAATCGCTGTTGCTAGTATCATAACCAACGTAAACAGGAAAAACATAGTGATGCTCAAAGGCCGCAGGCTGGCTTTGATGGACTGGTGAATGATCTTTGTCGACTCGTTGTCCCGTAAAATAAGTGCCAAGCGCACAGTTCGAACTAGGCCAAGTTGGCTGACGTGGCGTTCGATGTCGGCATTCACCTTCAGAGCTTCCAAAATTTGCATCATATACCACGGAGAGATCCCTAGCAAATCCAGCCACATGTATGGATCACGGACAATTACTCGAATATTTCGAATCTGAATAATTCGTCCGAGGAATTCCAATGTGAAAAGTCCCGCAAATAATCCATCGTAAATCTTGTGGTCCTGCTGGGACGGTAGATACGGATACCCTGGGTCAGTACTTCCCATGCTTGGCCCATCGCACGTTTTGATGGCTAGGTCTGCGATTCCCAGCAGTATAAGAACAAATACAGCAGTGTTGAATCGACGACCCCACCGCGATACTGGCGGCAAGGCAAACAAATCACTGATCTCGCTCTTAGTGCGAACGTAAATCATGCGATAAATCGACGGATCGTTCACCTGCGGAGGTTTTACTGACGGCGCGTAACTATTTCTCGAGGCAATGTGCACTTTGTGCAGAGACAACTTGGTATTCACCAGTTTTACCAGATCGAGTTCAGCCACATTTGAAAGATTCTCCGATGAGTCATTAAAAATACCATTAGAAAAGATCGGATGTACTCTCGAAGCTCGAGGACCGGTAGTAGCTCTGTTCAATGACGACCGCTGTACAAGACGCGGAGAGTAACTAGGAGTCTCATGTGCTTCTAGATCTCTTCGACCTGGAGTAAATATCCTGTCGTTTTCCAGTGTTCTCGACTCTGTCGATGTCGGTAGTACAGGGATGTCTGTCGGGGCCGCAGTGTCCGCTTCCCACGACGGATTTCTCGTGAAGCTTCGGTATCTGGATGAACGTGGCCTGACGGTCGTGCGGGCTGATCCGTCACTAACTGCGATGGAACTGGGTAGCTGTTCGCTTTCGTTGCATCCAAAACTAGAAGAAGATCCCGGAAGTACCTGGGGCTGCGGATTATCAGACTGTTCATCGAGACCCGACAACGTCTCATCGGACATTTGATGTAGTGGAGGCAGAGCCCCACCTCGCTTTGACGTCTCCACAGTATCGACTTGTATGAAGCTCCCTGTCTATGAGATAGCGTAGTACTCCGTCCGGAAGAATACGAAGTTATGAATGAGCTGGTCCACAGTTTTCGTCGCCGCGCATGAAGCTGCTGTATACACGACGGCGGAGAGTGTCGTCGGGAAGCTGAGGGCTCGTTTAGTCTCCTGCGGCGTAACGCTTCCCCAACAAGTGTACACGGTCAGCAGCAGAGCAAGGACAAGGTAAAAATACACGGATGCCGATTACTGGGATAATCTTGTGTCAGCAATAACCGATTTGTGAAATGGGTACAGACTTCAACAAATAAACCATCACTCCTTATTTTCTCAAGCAGTTAATTGTGTTTTCGGAAATATCCTGTGACGATATGAGCTGTCTAAATTCCCTTTTATAATAATAGTATTTGAAAGTATGACATTTTAGGTTTCGCGGGTAGGGCTTTTTGCACGAGGTTTTTAGCCTCCAATGTAAGGTTTTTCTCGTTGGCTGGCTGAGCTGGTTTCACGAGTGACCTCCATTCGTGCAATTCCGCATCAGTGCGCTGCCTCGTGTGTACTCACTTCTATCTAGCAGCGACTGACTTCTTGCCATGGCGGGCGACAAGAGCTCGAAGAAGAAAGGCGGCAAGACCAAGGCTCACGTTAGCGAGTGGCCTTCCACGAACCCATCGTCCAGCTCACGCTCGATCCCTGCCAAAAGGTGTGTCTGCAACAAACCATCACTCTTGCCTTTTTGCCAAATAACCTAACACTTTTTCTAAACTCAAAAATGCAACAGCAATGAAAAGTTGCAAAAGCTCGTATCGCCACATTTGGACTCGTTCAACTTTTTCCTGACGGAAGGTTTGGACCTTGCAGTTGCCGACATGTGCAAAGTGCCAGTGGAGTTGCCAAACCAACACCGCATGGACATTTGGATTGAAAATGCGCAAATCGGCTACCCTACCACGGAGAATCAGATCACAGGCGAGCAGAAGCTCCTCCCCAGTGAATGTCGTCAACGTGGCGTGTCGTACACTGCGCCACTTGTCGTGACTCTGGCTCGCTCCTTCGGTGGCTCTCAGAACGTCGAGCGTCTTCAACGCGTGGTAGGTGAAATCCCCATTATGGTGCGCTCCAAGCGCTGCCATCTCAACGGCATGGCGCCCACCGACCTCGTTAAAGCTCGCGAAGAAGCCAATGAGATGGGCGGATACTTCATTTGCAACGGCAACGAACGTTGCGTGCGTCTCTTGCAAATGCCACGTCGACACCACATAATGGCCGTGCGTCGTGGCGCTTTTGCCAATCGTGGCGACTTGTACACGGAACTTGCCGTGTTCATGAAATGTGTCAAACGTGACCAATCCGCCGTCACTGTCACTGTTCACTATTTGCAAGACGGTAATGCAACAGTGCGTTTCGGAGTGAAAAAGCAAGAGTTCATGATCCCTGTGGGTCTCGTACTTAAGGCGTTGTACCCACTTACCGACCGCGAGATCTACGAGCGTGTCCTACGCGGAGACCACGAGAACACGTACCTGTCTGCTCGTGTGGAGCTTATCCTACGTGAGGCCAAGAAGTTCTCACTGTACACTCGTGACGAGGCGCTGGCGTACTTGGGCAAACATTTCCGGTTTGCCATGCCGTATGTGTACGACAACATGAACAACGTGGAAGTTGGCAGCAAACTATTGGACGATTTCCTGTTTGTGCACATCCCCAAGGGCGAAAAGGGTCGCACCCAAAAGGTCGAGTTGCTGTGTCTGATGCTGAGAAAGTTGTACGCCTTCGCCAAGGGAGATGTGCCCGAAGATAACGCCGATTCCGTCATGAACCACGAGCTTTTGTTGCCTGGCCACTTGTATCTCATGATCATGAAGGAGAAACTGCAAGAGTCGCTTGTTGCCATGCGTGCAAACATCTTGAAGGAGACGCAAAACAAGAAGCGAGCAGTGGTGATGGACCAAGTGTTTTTACGTAAAATGTGGGAACGCACGCCTAATATCGGGAATGCCATGACGTACTTCTTAAACACGGGAAATCTCCGCTCGTCCAGTGGTCTGGATCTCCTGCAGATTGCTGGCTACACGATCGTGGCGGAGAAACTGAATTACTACCGGTATTTCTCGCACTTCCGCTCGGTTCATCGCGGTCAGTTCTTTACGGAGATGAAGACAACTGCAGTGCGTAAGTTGCTCCCGGACTCGTGGGGGTTCCTGTGTCCCGTCCACACACCCGACGGCTCTCCTTGTGGTCTATTAAACCACTTGGCTGTCGAGTGTGAACTCGTGTGTCACCCTGCGTTCAAAGCGGACGATTATCTGCAACAAGAAGTCAAGTTGGCTCGCTTCTTAGCTAGTCTCGGTATGATCCCCACTTCGGGTTACGCCGATGGCGCTTTGATCGTACCCTACTCGTACCTGCCTGTTATGATGAACGGGAAAGTGCTTGGAGGAGCCCCAGCCGAAGTGTGCAAGCGTATCGCCGAGGTTTTACGCAAAGTCAAGTCTGCGAAGAGCTCGGAGGAACGGGACGCCAACGGTATCGTGTCGAACCTCGAGGTGTGTCTGATCCTACCAACTCGAGGTGGTCCCTTCCCGGGTCTCTACCTCTCTGCCGACGCTGCACGGATGTCACGTCCAGTGAAGCAAATGGACACGAAACGTATCGAGTACATTGGCCCCATGGAGCAAGTCTTCATGGACATTGCGTGCACCAAAGATGACATCCGTCCGGCCACAACTCACATGGAGATCAAGCCCACCAACATGCTGTCCCTTGTGGCTTCGCTGACCCCTTTTTCCGACTACAACCAGTCGCCACGTAACATGTACCAGTGTCAGATGGCCAAGCAGACGATGGGTACACCTGCACACTCGATTGTGCACCGCTCGGACAACAAGATGTACCGTATCCAGTCGCCTCAGATCCCTATTGTACAGAATGAACGTCTGCGTGAGTACCAATTGGACGAATATCCTCTGGGTACCAACGCAGTAGTAGCTGTGATCTCGTACACGGGCTTCGACATGGAGGACGCTATGATCCTCAATAAGTCGTCCTACGAACGTGGCTTTGGCCACGCGTCAGTGTACAAGCAACTGACTGTGGACATAAGTTCCAATGGCAAACAGGGCAGTGCCACGTCCAAGAAATACTTTTCCAACATCAAGACGGATGGCAGTGGCGACTACTGCTCCACGAAGCTAGATCGGGATGGATTCCCGCATATTGGACAGGTGGTGAACCACGGAGACCCCGTTGCCAGTTGGATCGACGAGACGACGGGTCTTCCTTCGGTCCAGAAGCATAAGGAGTCCGAACCAGCGATTATCGAGCAGGTGAACATGATCGGCAACTCGTCTTCATCTTCCGAGTTCACTAAGGCGAGTATCAAGCTCCGTTTCTGTCGAAACCCGACGATCGGTGACAAGTTCTCGTCACGTCACGGACAGAAAGGTGTCATGAGTATTTTGTGGCCGCAAGCCGATATGCCCTTCTCGGAATCGGGAATTTCTCCCGATATTATCATTAACCCGCACGCATTCCCGTCGCGTATGACGGTCGGAATGTTGATCGAGTCGATGGCTGCAAAGACGGGCGCCTTGAAGGGCAAATACATGGATGCCACGCCGTTCCAGTTCAGCGAAAAAGACCGCGTCATCGACTATTTCGGCTCGCAATTGAAGGAACATGGCTACAACTACATGGGCAGTGAACCACTGTACTCCGGTATCTCCGGTACCGTCATGCAGGCGGATATCTACATCGGTGTCGTGTATTATCAACGTCTGCGTCATATGGTTAGCGACAAGAGCCAAGTGCGTGCGACGGGCCCCATGAACTCGCTAACTCGCCAGCCTGTTAAGGGTCGTAAGAAGGGAGGAGGTATCCGTCTCGGAGAGATGGAACGTGACTCGTTGCTGGCTCACGGTTGTGCCTTCTTGGTGCAAGATCGACTGTTGAATTGTTCCGACAAACACATTGCCACAGTTTGCACCAATTGTGGCAGTTTGCTGTCTAATGCCACGCAACGCTCGACGGTGGAAACAGCTGGACAAGGAGAGATTGCAGTTGCCATGAAGTCCAAGACGCAATGGTATTGCACAGTTTGCCAAACGGGGGAAAGTTGCCAACCTGTGGCAATGCCATATGTCTTCCGCTACTTGGCGAACGAACTGGCGGCCATGAACATCAAAATGTCACTCACTTTGAAGGGATGCTAAAAACGGATGAAACAAAAAAGGGCCGGTTACGCCTCCAAACAAAAAGATTTATTTGGTGTGAACTTATCCGTTTTTCTTTTCTTTTTGCATTTGCGCAAAAAGTTTGCATTTGGGGTTTCACGACACAAGTGCAACAAGAAAGATGAGGGCAACTAGCGACTTTAATGCGTCGTTGCGTCAATCTCGGAGTCCGAGTAGTACGACACCACGTGCAACTCGAGGCCATCCGTATCAAGGGATGAGTATCAATGTGTCTTCGGCTGCCAGTTCACCTTCTAGTAGTGCACGTTCCTCGCCACGTAATACCTCTTCTCCGAGTAATACGCGTCGACAGCAACACTACAGTTCACCAGGTGGATATCTGCAACGGACAGCGATTTCCAATGCCTACAACTCTGGAGGTTCCCGAAGTGAAGATGCCGAGACGTCGTCAACAACTTCGGAAGGATTTGTCGAAAGACCGTCGTCTCCAGCTCATAGTACACACAGCATCTCGAGTAGTTCGAGTCGATACAGTGAACGTGGCAGTAATTTCAAGGTGGTCATTCGTGTACGACCACCGTTGCCACGTGAACTTCATGGGGATCGACCGTTCCAGAACGTCATCAATGTGGATCAACACGGTCACGTGTTGACTGTATCAGAGAACCTCAGTGCATTGAGTAATAGTGGGAATTCTGATAACGAGTCTAGTACCCCAGGAGCATACGGTAGTCACGTGTTCTCGTTCGATCATGTGTACGACCAACAATGTACGCAGAGCACTGTGTACGAGAACACAGCCAAGGCTGTAGTGGAGTCCTCCCTCGAAGGATACAACGCTACTATCTTCGCTTACGGACAGACAGGAACGGGTAAGACGTATACAATGGAAGGGTTCAATAGTGGCTCTGGTAGTGTCGAGGAGCGAGGGATTATCCCTCGAGCGATCGAGCAGATTTTCTGCCACATCCAAGCAAATGTGTCCGCACGATGTCGCTTCCTTGTACGTGCATCATATTTGCAAATATACAACGAATCCATCTCAGATCTATTGAAACCGGAACGATCCAACTTGACGATCCGAGAAGACCGTCGTCGTGGCGTGTTTGTTGAGGGGTTATCGGAATGGGTAGTACGATCACCGGAAGAAATCTACGGTCTGATGGAACGTGGTGGGGCCATGCGTGCTACTGGTAGTACAAAGATGAACGAGCTGTCTTCTCGTAGTCACGCTGTGTTTATCATTATCGCCGAGCAAAGTAAGACAACGTATGTGGATTCCAAAGGTAACGACGTAGCACCGGAAGAGTTCATGACGTTGGTTAACGCCTACCAAGCACGTCACGGTACCACTCCTACGAACGGGAAAGCATCCAACGGTGCCAATGGGAACGCAGCAGCGTTGCACCCGAAGCTTGAAGCCATGGTACGACAGAGTTTTAAGGTTGGGAAGCTGAATCTCGTCGACCTTGCAGGCTCAGAGCGTGTGCGATTGTCCGGTGCTACGGGTCAACGACTAGAGGAGAGTAAGAAGATTAACCAGTCTCTTTCAGCACTTGGAAACGTCATCTCAGCTCTCACCGATGCACGTGGACGTCAGCATATCCCGTACCGTGATAGTAAACTCACTCGTATCCTTGAGGACTCGTTAGGTGGCAACTGTAAGACCACGATGATGGCTATGGTCTCTCCTGCATTGGAAGCCATGACCGAGTCGCTGTCGACGCTGAAGTTCGCTAACCGTGCTAAACACATCAAGAATGAGGCTCGAGTTAACGAAGATTTAGATCAAAAGTCATTGCTGCGAAAATATGAACGAGAACTGAAGCGACTTCGGGCGGAACTGGAGGAACGCTCTCGAAATGTTGTGGATAAACGTCGATTGTTAGAGCTGGATGAACAACGACGACGTGCAGAAGAAGACAAGATGGCGGCGATTCGAGCGCTGGAGGAACGTTCTCGTGAGTTTATGAGGGAGAAAGAAGAGAAGAAACGTCTTGAACAGCGGATTTCTGCACTGACTTCTCAAATGATGATGAGTAATCAGAGACGACTAACACCTTCCGGATTGAGTTGCGACGGAGAGACGCTTAACGTTGAGGATCCGTTGATACGAGATGCTATTAAAGAGCATCAAGATCGGATCCGACAAGAATATGAATGTCGTCTTGCTGATCTGGAGAAGGAACGAGAGACCATTGAAGAAGAGAAAGCACAAGTGGATCGATACAAGCAATTACTGCTCAAGCAACGTGACATCATGATCGCTCTCACTCAAAGACTCAATGAACGTGACGAGCAGATCACTGCGTTGCAGGACGAACTGGACGCTTATGATCGTCACCAGAAGGAGCTTGAAGAGAAGCTTGATGAGAAGACAGCACATCTCATTCACTTGCAACGTGTAGCTATGGAACACAACGCTAGTTCGCCTGGTAAAACTGATGCTGAGTTGCTTAAGGCGTTGGGAGATTGGGGTGGAGGTGCAACACAAGCGAAGACGACACCAATGGCTACATCTGCAGCTTCTAAACCTCCTACTGAGCTGCTCATTACACACAAACAATTCCGACCTCATCCGGTTGATCCCGTGATCATTAACGATAACAATTACAGTAACAACGCTGGACATTCTCTGCTATCTGCCGAGGAGAAAATCCAAGAACTACGTGGGTTAGTTGATGCTCAAACGGTGGAGCATCAACGGATGGCGAAAGAATTAGAAGATGTCAAAGCTGAAAAGGTTTCAGTTGAGTTCCAGATGCGTGAGAAGCTCGAAAAGCTTGTCCAAGTGGAGCTCGAAGCGCGTTCCAAGGACCTCAATCGCTCGGATAGTAGAAATAAGCAACAGCTCGTAAACTTGCAAAGACAATTAGAAAAATTGATGCTGGAGAATCAACAGCTACAGTCTCGAGCAGCTACTGACGAGCAGACGCAACTACAAGCACGTTGTGAGACGTTAGTGAAGGAGAGACGCGCAGTGCAGACCATCATGGAGCACAAGATCAAGACGCTTGTTACAGCTATCGGTGAAGCTTCGGATGCCACGCTTCAGACCGCAGGAGGAGCTGATAAACTCGGAGAGCCCGCAAAATGGCTGGCGCGAGAGATCAACGCTCTTCAAAGACTTGTCAACGCTTCAATCGTTGCTTTACGTAATGCTGACGCTGGCAACGGAAAGCCTACAAAGGAGTCTGTTAGTAGCCAACCTACGCCTACGAATGCACCTACTGGCATCAGTAGTAATCGCGACAAACCTGATACCTCGAGAGCGATGGCTACGTCGGTATCGGGTGCTAATTTGTCAGTAGATGAACTCATAGAGCAAAGGAGAGCGCAACTCCAACAGCAACGCGAACGATACCCCAGTAACTAGCCAGTTGACAAGAAATAACACAAAAATGAACTCAAATTTTAAAGTGGACTAACACTTTTGACAGACTCGTCACCTTGAGACACTGATGGCGGTGGTAAACCTACTACGACATCTTGACTGATCCATCGTTTTTCACTGTCGGCTACGAGAACTTTGAGTTGGTTGTCGTCACTTTTCAGAAACGAATCCACGATCCAAAATTGGGCGGAAGTGCAACATCCTGGGATCACGAGCATCACGAGAGATAATTCCAAGTGTCGATGGTGCTTGAAGGTTGAAAACAGCCTTGTAGCAAAGTACGCAATGTCCGGGAAGAAGATCCAGAGAATTAAAACATCAACCACTTTCATGAGTGTAAGTGCCGTTAGATACGCGAAGAACTGTGTCCACCAAATCCTCATCAGTGGCGGATCTCCATAGTCCCCACACCGAGCGATGTCCAGAAGTCCGAATCGCGCAGCCGTGTTGTCGATTAAACGCAGGAAAACGATCATGATGAAGCAGCCCCATGTCGTGTCGAGAATGTAAATGACAAAATAAATTCCGCACTACACGCAACATATTTTTTAGTTTGCAAAAAGTAAAATAACGTTATTTGCGTACCTCATCGTAATTTTCAGTCGATGCAGCAATCATAACAATCGACAAGATGACACTGATGCAGTGGATGTAGAACGCACCCAGAGACTGTTTACTCACGTCCATCGCCCAGACTTTTATGGGCCGGATAGGGAACTCGAGCTTGCGCTTGATGTAGAGCAGGAAGATGGCGATACAGCCCAGCAACAGCTGCAGCAAGCGCCCAAACACATCCGTGAACAAGTGACACTGATCGTCGCTGGAATGCAAGACCACCATGGTCTCTTTAAAAAGTAATTGAGACTGTTAAATTTAATGAAAACAGTATCTTGTGTGTCCTTTCGTTTATTTTTTCTTATTATGAGTTCAACGGTCACACCGACTTCAACTAAACGTTGGATATGCACACACCACGCGATCCGTTGGCTAATAGGCGTTGTCCACATGCATAAAGTTTCTGTCCGTAGCTTCACCGGCCTCGTTGCCTTGGTAGTCAACGACAAAGTCGTTAGGCTTGGAGCCATCCGGGAGTGGCACGCCCCAGTCGCAGTCCTGCTCGATACCGAGATTGTTGTGGTGCATCTGGATACGGAACCAGCCGTTCTCTCCCCAGTACGTTCCCCACGAGTTACGTCCGATCCCTAACAGCAATTAACGAGTTAATTGCTGACATCAAACGTAACAATATATCGGAATGTACGTACAGTATTCCGTGTCTGTTTCTTCGTCGTATCCCCAGCCAGCGACCGAGATTTCGTGGTTAATCAGTGGGAACATGACGTGTTCCGAGTAGATGCCACCGGTGTACGACTCGAACTTGGATGTGGCGTGCACACCGCAGCCAATGGGGCCTCGTTTGTAAATCTCAGCCTTCATACGCTCAGCGCCGCTCACGGAGCCGTACTCAGACACGTAATACTTAGCGAACTTCTTGATGGGTTCACACACTCCAGGAGTGAACGACTCCTTCGACGGCCAGCAACTGCGTCAACATAACCAAGTCAGTGTCCATTATACCGTCAACTTAATATTAGGCGTTTACTTACGTCTCGCAGATAGCAAATTGGTCGCACTGAAGGTTCTTGGCTTGATAAGCTTGACACGTTTGGTCTGGAATGCCATGGCGGTGTGCGTACTCGTACACTAGACCAGGGTTGCCACCATTACAGGTGCCGCCTGCATGGCAGTTGATGAGAACTTGAGGCGACAGAGCAATTTCCGGCCACGACGCTATTAGGTACAGTCAAATCAGCACACTAAAAGAGTATAAGAAAACCATCTCCGAACGTACCATTTCTCAGGATGGAGATACGATCCGACAGTGCACTGGTCGTTCCTTGAGCCCAGCAACTGCCACAGTACTTGGGGATGTGTTGGTTCTTGTCCCACGTGACGTAGTTCTTGCCGTTAACATCACGCCAGTCCCAGCTCTTAGGCAGGTCTGTAACATCCATCGTCTCATGAGGTAGCGGCGAGATCACGCGTTCTCCCCCAGCAAAGTGGAGCTTCTGACGACAGCCACCCAGTGTCGACTCCACCGACGTCTCTTCTTGAGGTTCTTTGACCTTATCCTCTTCCTTTTCTTCAATCTTGGTCGGAGTGGGCCATCCGTCGTCTCGAGGCACTCCAAAGGCGCATTCGCCTTCGACTCCGACGTTGTTGACACCTCGGACGAGTCGCATCCAGCCACTTTCGCCCCAGAAACTACCCCAACTGTTGCGTAGAACCCAAAAGGGTACTCCGTTCTCCTCGCCCCACCCAACGATCGAGATGGCGTGGTCCACGTCTGTAGCGTTGGTTTTATCGTCAAAGATACCTCCCGAGTACTTGAGGAACCCGTCGGTAACTGCCACACTGCAGGCGATTGGCCCACGAGCGTAGATCTCGGCCATCATCTGCTGCTCGCCCAAGGTAGTACCGACCTCTGAAACATAATATTTGTCGTATGACTTTTGAGGGAAACAGCCCTTGGACGGCAAGCAGTTCTCACACACGTCCATGTCGGTGCACGTGTTGCCGGTGTCATGCCCCGTGGCTGCGTAGCGCTGGCATCCTTCTTCGGGGACGCCGTGTTCTTTGATATAGCGATATGCTTCCAATTGGTCACCGCCGTGACATCCGTTGTCCTTCTTGTCACAGTTAAGGATCACTTGAGGAGACAGTACTACCCCTCGATGCACTTCCACAGACGGCTTGTTGCCTGGGTTGCGCTCCTTGAATATGAGAATGCGATCTGCCAAAGCTGATGTCGCGGCTGTATAAAATATGACATTCCGAGAAGAAATGTTAGATTTTATATTGATATCAGCTTCAAGGAGGATTTAGTCGTACCGAAGGACCAGCACGAGCCGCAATAGTGAGGGATGTGCTGGTTGCGTGAGATGCTCACGTAGCGCGTGCCGTTGACATTGCGCCAGTCGAAGTTCTTGGGCAGCTTAGACACGTCGATGTAGTCGTGCGGCCGGGGCGACGTGAGCGACACTGAGCGGTCCGGACTGCGCACGTAGCCGTAGCCCCCGCTGCTAGTGAGTTCGGGCAACGAAAGCGGTGACGCCGAGGCAGTGGCAGCTGCAAGGGCGACAATGAGAGACGCCCGCATCGCTGCAGCTTTTAGAATTCTTCTGGCGACTTGAGCTCTTGACGTCAGGATGAAGAATGACGCTTCAACAAGGGGGAAGTACCAAATCTTCTCAAACGGTTTATGGAGGTTAAAGCATTGTCAAAGATGATATCAGGATAAGCGCACATTTCTGTAAGTGGATGTGCTGCTGATGTGTTATTCCATCATTGGACCCTGCTAGCCTGTAATATCCAATATAAACGTATACAATGGCAAGATCTGTGAAAAGTGATAGCTTTTGGGTGTCCAGAATCAGACATGAGCGTTAAGGTGCCGTCCGTTGTGCTGCCCAGCGGGGCGCGGATGCCGATGCTGGGGCTGGGTGTGTACAAGGCAGCAGCAGGCGAAGAGGCCTACGAATCTGTTCTGTCGGCCTTGCGTCTAGGCTACCGCCACATTGACACCGCGCGGCTGTACGAGAATGAGGCGGACGTGGGGCGCGCTGTACGGGACTCTGGAATCCCTCGCGAGCAGATCTTCATCACGAGTAAGCTGCGCGAGTTCCACTGGGGATACGACAAGGCACTGGAGGGTGCGCGCTCCAGCAACGATCTCATCGGCTGTAGCTACATCGATCTGTTCCTGCTGCATCAGCCCTTTGATCCCAAACTACGCGCTGATACATGGCGCGCACTCGAAGATCTGCAGAAGGAAGGCGTACTGCGTGACATCGGTGTGTCAAACTTTGGAGAAGCGCATCTGGCCAAACTGGCCGAGACGTGGAAGGTCAAACCGGCTGTGAACCAGATCGAATTGCATCCGTGGCTCACGAGACAGTCGCTGGTCAACTATTGCGAGGAGAACGGGATTCATGTCCAGGCCTTCTCACCTCTGGCGCGAGTGAAGAAGATTGACGACTCGAGACTTATTGAACTTGCCAAGGAAGTACAGGCAACACCCGCTCAGGTTTTGATTGCGTGGGATCTGGTTAAAGGATACACCACAGTGCCCAAGTCGGTGCACGAAGCGAGACAGAAGGAAAACCTGGAAGCGGCCAACGTGAAGCTCACACCGGAACAAGTGACACGTCTGGATGCATTCAACGAGGACTTTTACTCGGGCACAGACCACGTCAGTAACTCTGCTGTCTAAGAACAGGATTTCACATTCAGTTTAGCATCGTTACAGCCTTCTGTAGTTTCTAACTGGAGACTGAACACGTGCTTTTTGTTGTTTTCTAACACGTTGACGACATATATTTCCTGCAGCATCGGGCTGCTCCCTTGACACCCGTCAGCTTATAGATGATCTTCGCTTGACGTGATGAGGGACTGGGGCAAGTGACCGGTCTCGTTCACTGCCGTGACCTTGATAGGTCGATTAGCACACACATCGATACGTGTGATGCCACAATGATTGATCTCGAAGTGACCCCACGTGTTCGTAGGCGCGATACCAAGCGCACGACACAAGAAGAACCGGATAAGGTTGGCATGACACACAAGTACGCAGTAGGACTCTTCGTCGCTCTCGTCTTGAGCTTCACCTGAGCTCAAGAAGAACCTGTTGAATGCTTTCTGCATCCGTTTGACGTCCATACGACTCCGTTCCTGCATGCCATCGTATGCACTATTGTCACGTGCACCTGTTTCCCCGCCAATTACAGGACTGGACGAGTATGGCAGTCCAGGCCAGCCTTCACGTAGCAATGGACTCGGGTTTAGTAGCACTTCTCCAAAGTTATTGGAGATAATACCAGCAGTCTCCACTGCACGCGTCATATCACTGTGGTACACAGTGATGTCGTGTCGCGTGGGGACTCGGTTGTGAGCCATTGCCAAGCATTTGCCCGTTTGTTCAGCTTGTTGTCTTCCCATCTGGGAAAGCACTTGCTCCGAGTCCGATACTTGAGGCACATGCGCATTGATGTAGTGGCCATGACGAACAAGAATGATGTGCTTGGTTCTGGGTGGCGTGGCGTACACGAACTCTCCGAGAGACGACTGTACCTGTTGGTGAGACTTGTGATCCTGCTGTCTCGGTAGCGTCTGCTGGTCTTCACGCCGCGCATTCGTGTCCGCTTTCCCTTGTTGCGTTCTAACGCTAGTGTCACTCGACGATACAGGGCTGTGGGTAGATTTACTTACAGTGTTTTCTTGTTCTCTACCTTGGAATCTGAGGATGCCGTTCACCCACTCGACATACTCCTCCTTAGTCGAAGCCGTGAAGGTGTAGGACGGCGATCGCAGCCCATTGCCACTACTACTTGGTTGGTAATGCAACTGAAACTTTAGGTCGTTCGCAGAGGGTTCATGCACCAGGTCCATGGCGTCAACATCTAACACGATGGTATGATGACTGTCCTTGGACACCGTCTCTAATGACAATCCGCTGCTCTTTCGCACCAAGACGCAGTAGATCTACACCAAACAGTCACAACATACTCTCAGCACTTTGTTCCCATCGGTTGTAGCCATTCCCAACTCCTCACCGAGCCTAGCGTACGGAAGACTGACGAGTCTTGCCCTTTGCCGACCAGTTCCGCTACGACCAGCAGCCCCTTGACCTCCACTGCTTCGCCATCACGCCGTCTCTCACCTGGTAGAGACGTCAATAGTGCGCGTTTGTGACCTCGCTTCTGGTTGGCAGGGAGCTCTTCGGAGAATGTTGTCAAGTCTATGGGCACAGTTCCGCTGGCTGGTCGCTGTTTGCGCTTGGGCGAGCTCCGTGTGCCTTGCTCGCCCTCACCAGCGAGCAACAGCTTTTGCATACGCACGGACTCCGTCTTGACGGAGCAGCCGCCGCCACCCTTGCCGCTCGCGGACGCCGGAGTCACGGCCAAGTCCAGCGACATGGCTGCACAAGCAAGTGCGACTTGCGAATGCTGATGACGAAATGAAAATAAACGTTTCAGCTGAAAAAGTAAAATTTTCTGAGGAATGGGAAGCTCACATTTTGTACCGGATACCGAACCGATCCCCGATACTTACCGCATGACCTAACGCCGTTAGGCCATGCCGCCAGCGCACGCCAATCCCAGAAAACGGGCTGGAACATTTCTTCGTAGTGAAGCCAAGTGGTTCGGCTCAAACTTCATTCAACTTTGCTGTAGCTTGTTTTTATTCAAACAGCACGACTCGTGCTGCACGAGTCAGGTGAGCACATCACACGATTCATTTGGCATGCTGGACTGGACAACTGTCGTAGGACGAGAAGAGCCGACATTCGAGCACCGCTCGACTCGTCGAGAAATCGACACAAAACGCCAAGTTTCTGAACGAGTTGACTAAAATCTAACGAGAGTGGGAGAAAAATGTGAATGTAAATTGCAACAGCTGCTGCTCATCGACCGAGAAATAGGCCGCGATAGACAAAAAAGCAGAAGCGCTGCTCGCCCTAGGATCGGGCTGGACGAGCACAGCGAGCAAACACGGCATTCATCTGGACTCTTCCAGCGTCTTCCGCTGGTTTGTTGTTAACTTTTCACCGACAAGAAATTTACATGCCGCGCTTCCTGCAGCGAGAAAGCCGGAGCTCGAATCTGGTCTCAGTGAGACTCTCACTGACTCAGTGACTGTCAGCACCAGAATTTCAACAATCGTTGCTTGACGGTGCCGCTAAAGTTGGTTAGCGGCGCTAACTAAGGTGAGCTGCAACCTTCGCTTCCTCTCGACGTAGGAGCGTGGGAGGTTTGCAGAGTGAGCGTGCCGATTCGCTGCACGCACTTTGACATGGTACTGTACATACATTCTGCGCATTACACAACATTCACCAAACATACTTTGTTCAAGAGATCTTTACATCTGATCCAAATAGTTGGCAAAATGCTCGTCGACTGACTGACCACATGCAGCAACTCCGCCGGGTGGGTGCTGCAGTCTGAGCTGGCCACACGAGAAAAAGCCCCCGAGCACGAGAAGGATATGGCGCCAGGAGATGAAAATCCTATGGAGACGCTCAGTGGCGACGCGTTTGTGGGGTACAACGAGTGGGCGGCCGAGACGCTCAAGGTGCGGATTGCCACAGATTTCGTCTACGAGACTCAGGACGGTGCGTGTGCTTCCGAACGCGGCGTATTTATCGCCGAGGATGTGACGCCACACACCGAGGTGTTCAGTATCCCGTTAGACTCGGTACTGTCCGTCAAGAGTCTGCAGGATATCTCTGCGTTGCAGAGCATCACCTTCTTCCAGCAACTCACACCCGAGCGTGAGGATGATCAGCTGGCCATCGCGTTACTCTACGAGAAATATATGCAAGGCGACAAGTCCAAATGGGCCAAACACATCGAATTGCTGCCCAAAACGTACCATAATGCGCTGTACTTCGAAGCGGGAGAGATCAAGGCGCTGGAAGGCAGCAACTTGTTCTTCATCGCTCAACAAATGGAGGAAAAAGTGGCATCCGATTATGCCGTATTGAAAGAATCTGTGCTCTTTGAACTCTTTGAGAACATCACAGAGGGGATCACCGTCGACTTATTCGACGAAATCTTCTCCTTGGACAACTACAAGTGGGCGTTGTCGACGATCTGGAGTCGCTTCGTGTCTTTAAGACTGGATGAGGCTCCGTCTGAGAGACAGATAGAAGAACTTAAGGGTAGTAGTCTACCGGTAGCTAAGCAGTCGTTCAAGGCCATGGTGCCGGTGTTTGACATGCTCAACCACGACCCTGAAGCCGAGATGTCCCACTTCTTTGACATGGAGACTCAATGCTTTAAGCTCGTGAGTCATCAACACTGGAATGCTGGTGCACAGATGTTCATTAACTACGGAGCCTTGTCGAATCACAAGTTGCTGTCGTTGTACGGCTTCGTGATCATTGGCAACCTGTTCGATGCTGTGGATATGTGGCTGCCCATGGACGAAGCGTCCACCAAGTTTTATCACGAGAAGGAGCAGTTGCTTCTTGTCAACGGACTGGATCACGCTACCAACCCGTTCGAACTTGTGGCCGAAGAGACCAACGATCTACTTCTGATGGCTACACGGATACAAGAGATCGACTGTGACACAATTGACGAGCTCGAGACGCTAGCGTACAAGGCGCTGGACGGAGAAGTGGTGAGCTTGGAGAACGAGCAGCAAGCTCTCACACGTCTCATCTACACTCTGGAGCAGATGCTGAAGGCGTTCCCGACCTCAATCGAGGAGGACGACGAACTGCTGGGGTCCTGGGAAGAGGATTTGAAGCAGCAAGGTGATGAATGCAGCGACAGTCTCAACCACGAGCGGATGGCAGTGGCAGTTCGTCGGTCGGATAAGTACATCCTCTCGGAAAACATCAACATGTTGAAGTGGAAACTCCTGGACATTCTACCGAAGCATTAGAGTGTGCATACGGCCATGACAAATACATGTCTTCATCTCTATGAAATCAAGTGTTTATCCACCTCTATAACTCGGGCGTCGTGTAGATCTTGACGTGTTTGCAGTTCTTGCCTAGAACAAGAACTTCAGATCCGTCGGGTGAGAACGTAGCTCGCTTGATCTGATCTTCGATCGCGTTCTCGATGGTGAAAAACTCCTCGTTGTCGCTGGTTCGAACAAACACAAGGTCTTTACCTCGCACCATAGCCAGCATCTGTAGCACCAAATCCTAGTCAAAACTACTGTAACATTTCTCGTAAGACGCAACATCGTACCTTCCCCTTAGGAGCGAAGTCGGTAGCCTGGAAAGGTTCATCGCCGCTGGCATTAAATGACGACAGCACCTTGGGATCTTCTTGCACAGTGTATCGCACTGCATAGTAGTCACGGACATGGTGTATCAGTATTAGAATTATATATGATATTTAGATAATACTATTCGTACAAACTCACCGTTAATATCCCATAGACGGACAGAGGAGTCCTTGGAAATAGTCACGACGCGGTTCACTGGAAGCGCATCTGAGCCGTCAAAGGCGAGATCCATCACACCCGTCTACGGTTTAAGCAGAAAACAGTCCCAGAGTGTCAGTTTTGATCCCACCACGCGCGTTTTGCTTGGGTACCGTACTCTGTGTCCTTGTAGCGTCATGATCTTGTTCACCTTCTTAAACGCGCCCGTCTTCTCACGTGCAATCTCGTAGATCTTGACTTCCGGCGTGTATGCTGCCACAGCGATATATCGATTGTCCTTGGAGCCGACGCAGTGGTAGTTGGCCACCTGGTTCGTGTTGACTGTCTGCAGCAGCTCGCCACTCAAGTTCCAGAACTTGACATCCGTGTCCGAGTCACCCGCACACGTGATGATCGTTGCCCACTAACCAACAGCTCAACTCTAGTCAGTATTCAGTCGATATCAGAGGCTTGACCAGCTACATACATTGCCGATATCGTTCATGAGCACAGAGTGCACGTCTGTTTTGTGCGAGACTGGGAACTCCGCCACCATTTTCGGTTTGAGACGAAGTTTTTCTGCCAAAGCGAAGCACAAAAAATCATCAATGCGACTCAGTTCGGAGCAATTTGCAGGCATACCAAACGTACGGTAGACTTTGACGTTGCCGTTCTCTGTTGCAACCACGAGACTGCGTCCATCCGAGCTGAAACACATGGCCGTGACGTGATCGTACTCGATATTGATCTGGTGCAGCTTGGGGTTCTTGTCCTTGAGTGTGTCGCGGAAATAGAGGCGGATGGAGCGGTCCGAGCTGGCGGTGGCCAGAAAGCGGCCGTTGGGGCTGTAGGCGGCGGCCGTGATGCCGTATTTGTGGCCCCTAAGCACATGCAAGATGCTCGAGTGTTCTTCTCCTGCGTCCTGTGCAACTGCTTGGGATTTCTTCTTCTTAAGCTCCGCCGTCACGTCGATCTTTTTCTTGGTCTTGCTTTTCGGCTTCTTGTTATTGAGTGCGTGGAACTTCTGGCGTGCCAGCTCTTCCTTCTCCTTCTGAAGCTTTTGCTCCTGCTTCTTGGCCTCTTCTTGTCGCTGCATGTACATGTACCCGGCGCCCGCCAGCACCAGCAGTAGCGCCAATACCCACGCAAGCGAGTCCATGATCACACAAATGAAAGATACGTGGCACTTGTGTACCGTGCAACAATAACGAAACTACCATAATGACTACTGAATACTCGCACATTTTCATTTTCAATGAAATACGATGAATGTAAAAAAATGAAATAAAACATGTTACAATATGAGCGCGAAAACTGCTGTTTGCAGCATTTTTTTTTGAATAACTGCGATGGATTCACGTCAGCAGCGGTCATGACCCTAAACTAACAGAAGCGTAGGAAAGCGTAGGATGAGCGAGCTGTCATTATCGCGAAACGAATCCCATTTAGGATCAGAGCCACGGTCTTTTCGTTTCCTTCCATCGAGGTTTGTCTTTGCTGTACAAGTACCATCAACAGCTCGATGGCAGGGGTATTCACAGCGATAAACTGATGATGAAGCACTTTCGATACCTGAAGCTTCAACATCAACACAGTCAATTATGGAGGTTCAACTATGCCAAGCGACAGTCCGTTCACGTCAACAGAAATCCGACCCATTTTTTGCTTGGACGCCTAGCTCACTTTTAAATCGCAACCGAAGTGCACGTCGAAGATAATGGAGTTCCACGAGGCTGTTGCGATTGTGACGGGCGGTGGCCGCGGTTTCGGTCGCGCCTTCGCGGAGGAGATTCTGGCCGGTCGAGGTAAGGTTATGATTACGGACGTGAACGTACACGAGCTCCAAGCTACCGGCAAAGAGTTGCAGGGTAAATATGGCGAGCAAAACGTGTGTTGGGACCGTCAGAACGTGACCGAGAAGGACAGCTTCTCGCGCGCCTTCGCGTACGCCAGCAAATATTTTAACAAGCCTGTGAATGTGCTGGCCAACAACGCCGGTATCGCCGGCGACATGACCTTTTACCAACCCGAAAGCACGTCCTGGGAGGCTGTGGTGGACATCGACCTGACTGCGCTCATCCGCGGCACCAAGTTCGCTATCGGTGAGTTCAAGCGCACACTTAATGGCAAGGAGGGCGTCATTGTGAACCTCGGCAGTATGGCAGCGCTCTCTCCAACGCCGTTTGGTCCCGACTATGCGGCCGCCAAAGCTGGTGTCGTGGGCTTCACGCGCTCGTTGTACCAGCTCAAGAAGTCGGACAACATCCGCTGCTTCTGCATGTGCCCAGGTTTCGCCGAGACGAACATGGGTCAGCAGGCTGACGAAGAGGTCCCTAAGTACACCAACATGATGGGTGGCCTCATGCCTGTTAAGGTCGTCGTGGACGCCTTCGCCGCCGGCTTGCGCGAGCCCGACAACGCTGGCCGCGTGCTACGCATCATGAACAAGGGTACGGCGTACTACCGTTTCCCAGGTGACAAGACGTTGTTCCCGAACTCGAAGCTGTGAGTTGATGGATCCAGTTTAGTCAACTCGATTACTAAGTTGTGAAGAGACACGAGCTGAAGAATGACGCTTGAATATAATATTTGTTGTGCTGAAGCGTATTCTGTAGTTTATTGCTTCGCAATGAAAGAAGAAGGAAGTGAAATGTGTCGATGATTAAGATCGAGCGACCAGATCGAGCAACATAAGCTAGTGCAAGTCGAATGTATACTAAACTAAAGGCGACTTCAAGGCAAAAGGCAGCAGACTAGCGACCTATTTCTACGAGATCAAACAAGCACTGCGACCCTCGTCTTCTCTCTTTCTCCGCCGCATCTTCGCGATAAATAGAAATGCATGACCTTATCGACCATAATTTCTTGCTTGACTTCTCTTCGACGCCCCCTTCCCCCCTCTACTTTGCATGAAGCTCACACCACTTGTTACCGCTGGTATCACCAGCGTCCGTACCATTTCCATCGTTGTGTATCGTCTAAAACTCGGCAAAGGGATCTTTGCCGTTGTAAACGGGGACAATCGCATCCTCCATGGAGTCCGGGTATGGGTCGAAATTGGACGTATCGTTGGCCGTGCCGACACGTGGGATAATCGGTGCGGCGCCCTTGCGCGCGAGCAGGTCCTCCCAATTGATACCGGTGAAAAACTTGTGTTTCTTGATGTCCTCCACTCCGTTCTTGAGACAACCGTACCGTTTCGTAAGGTCGGCTGTGAGCATGCGTTTGATAAGTCCCTTGGCGTTTCGGTCGAAGAAACGCGGGAAGTTGAGCTTTCCTGAAAGAATTTGCTGGTAAATGCCCATGGGGTCGTCGTCGCAGAATGGTGGCTGTCCTGCCAGCATTTCGTACAGCAAAATGCCCAGTGTCCACCAGTCCACTCCCTTGCCGTGCCCCTTGTTAAGTAGCACCTCTGGCGCGATGTACTCGGGTGTGCCACAAAGCGTGTACGTCTTGAACGCCACTCGCTTGGCGAACCCGAAGTCAGTGATCTTGATGTAGCCCTCGTTGTCTAGTAGCAAGTTCTCGGGCTTCAAGTCGCGGTAGATGAAATCCTGACTATGCATGTACTCGAAGATGGATACCACCTGTGCTGCGTAAAACTTTGCCGTGTTGTTGTCGAACCGCCCAGCCTTTCGAAGGTGCGTGAAGAACTCGCCACCGATGACATACTCGAGCACCATGTACAGGTACTTGGTGTCCTGAAACGTGCCTGCCAAGTTGACAATGAATGGATGGTCCAAACATAGCAAGATGGACTTTTCCGAGAGCATGTGCTCGACCTGTTGCAGCCGAATGATCTCTGCCTTTTTCAAGATCTTGATAGCCCAGTACGTGTTGGTTGCCTACCAAAGAAGCCATGACACCGTCAGTCTATTCGAATGGACCCGCCTATTTACCTTTGTCGACATGACTTACTTTATGGGTAGCGAAGCGCACACGACCGAAGGAGCCGGTACCTAGCGTCACACCCATGTCGAATTGCGAGCCATCGAGTGGGGCGGCAAACTTGTTCGAGACCTTAACGCCGTCTGGGGTGGCCATTTGTGCTGAGTGTGTCCCTAGTGTGGTCTCAGTTGACGGCTGCCGTGTTCAGCGGTAGTCGAATGTGTCAATCCTTTGCGCGAGCGGAGGAGTCTGCGCGTGTGGCGAAACTCCAGCGATCTTGTCACTCGCGTCTTTTTTGGGCTATGGGCGCGTGCGCAGAGGTGTCGGCAGTGAGGGCGACGGTCAGAATCCGATGGCAACAAACACAATAGCCGGTGGTTATATACGCAACAGGTATTTTTGTCCTGCGCTTTGCAACTCGCCCCTCCGTTTTCCACCTCCTCACTTCGCAGCCAGGGCGATAGGAATAGCAGTGCAATGTCTGGCCTGATGCCGGGCTGAATAGGATATAACCAACACGAATCTGAAAAGCCGCCGAACGTAATTATAGAAAAAAGCAAGAAAGGGCCGGCCGACGAGTGAGTGCAGTGAATGAAGCAAGGCTATCTACAGATACTTCTTCCATTAATTTTCGTCTGCGTCAAGTCGAGGCTCTAAAAGAGTAGTAAATGGGGAAGGAAGTGTCGGTGGATCGCCTTCTGACCTACTGACCTTGATGACGGCGCGGTAATCTACTGACGCTTGGTGGGACTTCAAATTCACTGAACATGCACGAGAAACAAGGAAGCGAATAAGATGGTAGCTCTATAAGAGATACATCTTGGTCTGTTGAAGCCACCTAAACTTCCGTTGTAATAGTCGTAAGCATGGTTGCACACATGGCAAGTTGAAGTGGAAATGTTGCGTGAAGGTCGTCCTTTTAAATAGCGTGGTCCACTTGACTTATTCCGACAGAAACAGCTGCTCGCTGGGCATTCTTCACGATGGGGCTCACCCGGTCGGGCAGTGATGTCGGTGGCCGCCGGCGACAGCGGCAGCGGCAGCTGTGGACTCTTCTCGTTGTTCTGTTGATCCTTCCATGTTGCTCAGCTCAAACGACCAAGACAAAGTCTAGAGCCCCCCCGACAGTGGCGCCTGAGACCGTCGTGGAGTCCAATGAGGGCGCGTTTGCCACCATCATGTACGACTTTGGCGAGGACAGCGAGGCACTGCTGCTAGCTACGCGTGTGCTTATGCGTAGCATCAAAGAATCCAAAACCAAGTACCGTCGCATGGTGATTGTACCGCAGGACGGACTTTTTGAGAGCAGCGAGCAAGCACTCAAAGGAGACGACCCGGACCTGGAGATTGTGCACACCAACATCCCCAATGTATTCGGGCACATGCCACTGACCGACCACCGTACGCAACTGCTACATATGCGCAACAAGCTCGTGATATGGGACGACCCGCAGATCTCATCGCTCAAGCGCGTCGTGTACCTGGACCCGGAGAACCTGGTACTGCGCAATCTGGACGAGATCTTCGCGTGTCACCAGTTCTGCGCTGTAGACAACGGTCAGTCAGTCGTGTACTCCAATGGACTGCTAGTCATCTCCCCCGACAGTATCGCAGCGAGGAATTTGTACTCGGATGCCATCGATGGCTTCATGATCACTGGCCGTGAGTACAATTACATCGGTATCATTCAAGGTTTCATGCCTGGACTTTTCGAGGCATTCGAGGAGAGTCCGTTGTTTTTCCTAGGATGGGATGAAGATGACAATGGCGAAGACAGCGACGGAGCGGATGATGGTGATGATGCAGTGGAACCAGTAGACGCCTCTGTCGTCCACCGCTTGCCTTTCTACTACAGCATCAACCACATGGTCTTCTATGAACGCATGAACTGGGATCTATACAAATGCAAAGACAAGAACTTAGCAAAGGGAGAGATCCCTGGTCCTTTACTGAGCTACAAGTACAGTGGCGCTACAGTGAAGCCGTGGTTCTGGCTGCCGTACACGTACTTCCAGGTGTTCTGGTACTGGCAAGATGTACGTGCCCGACTGGGAGAAGACCACTTCGGTCACTTTGTAGGCAAAGTCGTGTCGTTTCTGGTGATTTTCGCCTTCATCTGGTTCGCCTACATCTCCCTCTGCTTGAAGCTGTTCACGGAGCCTAATGGACGACCACGTCGCTTGTCAAGCTGGGGACTACCCACTCCTGGCAACGCACAGCCACTATCTATCGACGTGTTTAACTCGCGTGTGGTGCGGCGAGCCTGTCAGTTCTCTTGCAGCGCGTTGTATGCTATTGCATCCATGCCATTGGTGTCAAGCGTCTCCATCGTCGTTCTCATTACTTATTGTAGTATCCAGGCCATCCCCATCACGATGCAGCCCTCGTACGCAGGGAAACTCTGGGTCATTGTACACGACCTGATGTTGACTACCGTATTGCTGATATTCGCGGTCGCACACACGTTACGCACTGCTCAATGGAAGAAGGACGAGGTGCCGGCGACGTCAGACATGCTGCTGGGTGGCATCTGGTGGTGTGTTAAGAAGCTGCCACTGCTCATGCTAGCGCAGCTTCAGTTCCTGTACATGATTGGCCGTACCGATTGGTTCCAGAACCCCGTGCTGCGTCCTATTATGACCTTCCTCTCCTTTGCGATCGCCGCCACTGTGGAAGGTCGAATTCTTGTTGTTGAGATGCACCGTATCACGAGGAACTGATCGTCGAGCGTTATGAGCATACCTAGGACATTTAGCCACTCAGGACGAAAGACACACCTGCTAATTATCGCAGAGACACAGGGACGAACAGTTTGTATGGTACGACACAACAATGCCAATAGAAAAGGAACTAAACACGAATATTAGTCAGCTAGTAGTCCGAGCGGCGTTTCTTCTGAGAACGAGGTACACAATGTTGTCAGTCTAATAGAGAGTTTGAGAGACAAGATGGCTTCTTTCGACACACCTGACTGACCTGGAGTTCCTGCGTCGACAAGGGTTGCTTGCCGCCAGTGAATGTCCGTTCCCGAGGTGCTTCTGCTTGCTGTTGCTCTGCTGCGTCTTTGCGTAGATCTTTCACGACTGCAGCTAGTGCCTCCGGGTTGACGCCTTTCTGAATCAGTGCCATGAGGATCGCCAGAGTGTCGCGGTCGAGACCAGTGTTGAGCAGGCGGGAGAGCTCATACACGGCTGAATTAAAGGTTATGACAGGAGATGGGCGGCTTAGGAAAGGATGTGAGGGCGGTAAGAGTTATCTGGGTGACGTACTCTCCATGACTTCAGCGCGAGACGCGGTGATACCATCGCTCATTTTGGTGATGATTATTGGGAAGTGTCGGATCCGGATAAATGGGAATCCGGATAAAAAAGCAACTTCCGAAATTGAAGTCTTCAATTATTAATACTTTTCTACAGTGCTGACAAGGATATTGAATTAAACTTATCGTAATGTGATTCAAGATCCAGGTGCACCTAGATAGCGCTGTATTAAGACAGACGGACAGCTTCAAGTCGGCCTACATGCTTACAAGTGATTCTGTAGAAAAAAAATACTACGTGTAGTACTTACTGTTACTTCAGTACATGTAACCCCGCGCACTTCATGAAATCTTACTTGTATCGGCCACTCATAGTATCCTAGCGATGGTCTATATTGTACTACGAAGTATTCCGTTCTCGGACACGCTTTCGGAATGAGTGATTTTCTTTGACAAACGTACAAATTGTTTCAATGAAAAACAGACTTTACTCGATGGCTATCTATTCGGTCTCGTGAGTGTAACCCCGCGCAATACCGATGCTTCCCTCTACGGCGGCGTGTGCAGGAGTCTTGCCAATGCGTGGGTCTAAGCCTTGGTACTCTCTCGTAGCGAGGTAATCGGCGGCCTCACTGTGATACGTGGTCAGCTCTGTTCGCTCATTTTTGACCTGCAACGCACCGGATGCGCCAGGCTCACCCGAAGCCGTGAGAGCACACGTAGTTGCTTCTCGATCGACGGGCGTCGAGTGGGAAGCTGTCTTGTACGTTCCTGACACCAGCGAGAAGAATGGCTTGTCCACGTCTTCACCCTCATCATCGGCAGCTTGCTCTACGCTTTGAGCAGTCTGATCTAGCGCCGGTATTACCTCACTGAAGTCGGTTTTGTACTGGCCATCCCACTCTTCGGAAGGCGAAAGAGCAAGTTGGAGTTCATACGGTGTCACGATGGGTTTGTAGTACTCCTTGCTGTCCATGAGAGTGTTCTGTTGACATGCCACGAGCACAAAGGCGTCGATTTCGGCGTAGTTTGCGAGTTTAGGCACGTTGACCTTGCCCACGACAAACAGATACGACTTGCGTCCACTCCTATAATAACCACAGCAAGCGTTAGTAGTTGAAAAGACCCATAATATCGTCGATGATCCATCTACTTTTTGATCAGCTTCTGGAGTCCATGCACCACGTCCAGATACTTGTTGACGCCAAGTGTGCCCATCAAAATACCGTAGATCTGTGCCTCTTTAGCTTGTTGGACGAGGAAAAAACTACAGCACACAAAGCACTGTTAGTTATTTCAAGCCAAGTAGCAATCTGACTAGCTAGTCTTACCGTCTCATGAGTGCACGGTTGACCGTCGCACCCTCTTTGCGAGAAGACATTACGTTCGGATTGTACGAGAAGCAGTCCACAGTGCTATAGCGCATTAAAATGCTAGTGAGATGTGCTGATTCCGCTCCAATATACAGCAGTGCAAACGTTTCCGGAGTGATCTCCACGTTATCACTGCCCAACACGATCTCCTGCCCGCCAATAGTAAAAACCGAAGAGTTCTTATCAGTATTCAGCGTCTCGACCCCCTCCACCTTCTCTGCTGGGTCGTAAAATGTCTTCATAGTCCCAAACACCAGCTTCCGTTCCGTAAACTTGTCCTTTAAACCTTCGAAGACTGCGTTACTAGCATGATGGAAGCGAGGCTCATACAGCAACACCAACGTCTTCATCACATCCACACCGGCAATACACTCGCTGAGCTGTTGCACACAGTCATTTACGTCAATCGTTGCATTGCCAAACACGTAGATCACCGGAATCTTGGTCGTCGCACTCAAACATGTGCGTCCGTAGTGCACGATGCAGTCAGCCACGAGATGTTGCGCTGCCACTTCATCCACACAGCAGCTGCCGTAGGAAGTGTCACCAAGCACAAATACGCGCTCCCATTGGCCGGTCAGTCCGTCCTTAAGCTCCTGTTGCACCTGTGAAGCGTCCGGTAGTAGCGAGTCCGGGAATTGCAGCGCGATTTTCTTATATCCACCACGTCGGATCTGCTCTACAGTACGGGTAATATCGTAGTACACACGCAGATCGCAGTCTTCGGCGCGTACTCCATCGCTCTCCTGTACTTGCACTTGCATCTCGATGGCACGCGAGCCATCGTCGCTCTCGAAGGCCAAGGCGACCGTCATCGAAATTGACTAGAGATCGGACAAGTATCAATTGTCAAAACGTTGGTGTAACCACACAAATGTGCATTTTTCGAGGGTATTAGATCTACCGCGTCTTGGTGGTCGTACGCTGACGTAGCGAAGTCTTGCTGTCATGCTCCTCATCAAGAGAGCCCACGAGGTTCTTGAGCTCCTTGTCCTTGATGTACTCACGGTTGATGAGCTTGCCCATCGTATCTCCCGCCTTAACACCTTCACCTGCCTCCTTGAGCATGTCCTTGAGCACTTGACGACCATAGCCCTCACCCGTCACAGGACCGCTGCTACCAAAGCCCACAGCGAGCGTCAGCTTCATCTTGGGCAACGACAACACTACCTCGTGCTCGTCAATAGACGACACCGTGGCACCTTCAGCCAGATCTTCCGTCACACTACCGTAGTAGAGCACTAGCTGTCGCGCACCATCAAAGCACTCTTCGTTCACAAAGGCGATAAGGTTCGTGCGGGCCTCGGCGTCCAGATACGGTATGAACGAGTTGTTCTTCTGATTCAGGTATAGTGTGATCAGTAGGAAAGTGTTGGTGAGCTGCAGCATAAGCGAGCTCATTGTGGTCGACGGGAACGTGTTAAAGGCGTACTCGTTGTTCAGTAGAGCTGCCATCTTGAGTAGCAGAGGTAAGTCCGAGCACCAAAGCAGATACGGTAGTGTCGGATAGTACCATGAGTAGAACTGATAGTGCAGTGTACGAGAGAAGACGATACCGGCGAAGTTCATGACGAATAGCGACGTCACGACGATCTCGCTTTGGATCGGAAACGGCTCGTAGATCGCGAATGGCTTCATCATCACAGCGCGGATCGTGCCGATAATGTTAAAGTGCTTGTCCAGAAACAATACCATGAAGAACAAGTGGCCTAGCAACAAGATGATCGCGAATCCACCCGATACAAACGTTTCTTCATCCAGGAAGCGCCAGTTCACTGTCCACTTGAACGTGAAGACGCGACTGAGCTCGAAGGCTTTGTTCATGTAGTTCCACCAATTGTGCTTTAGGAACGGATAGGCTAGCGCTACTTGGATCGCAGCGCAGATGACCAAATACCACGCGGTACGTAGAATACCACACGACTGTAGTAGCAGGAAGAAAAGCGCTGGGGCGAATAGCAACACGTTCATCTTGATGGACACAGCGAGGCTGAAGAAGACGCAGCCCCAACGCCACCGTTGGCGAGCGAATAGGTACACTGCAATGAACAGGAGCATCATCGCCACGCCGTCATTGAACATACGCAGCATAAAGATCGAGTGTAGGCGTTTCGAGGTGCACAAGAACACGGTGGCCCAGGGCGGTAGAACTCGAGCGCGGTAGTAAATTGCCAGTACCGTAGCGATCATGATGAGATAGAAGCCCAGGAAAATATACTGAGCACGTTGGATGTTCTGCCCGTTGTCCGTGATTGAGTGCAAGAAGGAGAATACGTACAGGAAGCCAGCAGGATAGACAAGCGGGCCTGTGTCGCCCCGGATCTGCATGTAGTCGCGCTCTCCGGCCTTGAACAGCTCCACTTGCTGCATGTACGTGGACCAGTCGATCTCTGTGTCTGCGCACATTAATACGAATTAATTAAACTTGGTTATTTTATAAATTGGGAAGCAGACGTACACGGCACTTTCTGGATGATGAGGTAGCCGACGCAGGCCTCGACGAGCAGCAAGCAGCAGGCGAGTTGCGGGAAATAGCGGTAGCTCCACATGAGATCGTACAGGAAGGACAGCACCCGGCTGTGCATGAGAGTCGTCTTGACATCCTTGTCAATGCGCGTCGCGCGCTTCGTCTTGGATGTGGACGTCGACGTCGACGTCTTCTTGCGCGCCATGGTGCCGGATACGATTGGCGATTTTTTTGGATAAGTGAGATCGACCACGTGGACTCATATGCTGCTCGATAGGATTGACCTGTCATGTTGTGTGGGTCACATAGCTTTGCAAAAAACCTTTAGCATCTGGTTAATAAGCTTTTTTTCCGAAAAAAATTGAGCTAATTTCCGGTGTATTAATAAAATTTGACAAAGCAACTTGCCATTCCACGCCAATGGAATATGCAGCTCCAACGACATGCCCGATCTGCGGCAAGTCTGAGTCACTGCGACGTTGTGGCTCCTGCAAGCGGGTGGGCTACTGCTCTCGCGAGCACCAGCGTCAGCACTGGAAAGCGCATCGTCCCGACTGCACGTATCAGTCCAAACAAGTCCAACAACCAGAGAAGAGCTCCCCCAGTTCCACGGACATGGTGGTCGTAGTGGAGATCAAGAGTGGAGAAGGTAGCGGACTCACTAACAGGATGATTCACCACGTCTTTAACTCGCAAGTCCAAGCTATAAGATACATTCGAGAACGTCTTGGCTACAGCCAGACTGACGACATGAAGGAACTTACAGAAATGCCGTTTCTACGAGAACTTATGGGCTTCAGTAGCGGCGTTCTCTATGTGGATCCTCGTCAGAATGTGTTCCCTCCATTTACCAAGGAATTTAACCGCCAGTTTGGCTTCGGCTTCGGGGCCGACGAGATAAACAATATGTTAAACTGCAGAGGCGTCCGCGGAGAGCTGAATGCCATGGCGATTTACATCGGAAGTAAATTGGAGAATGGGCTCTCTATGTCTGCGAACGCGAGTGGGGACGCGTTCTTCATTGGTACGACGGCCAAAGGCGAGCCAGTTACTAGCAACGTGCTATGGGGTGCAGCCAACTTTGTGTACGAGGCGATGGATTATTACCCAGATGACAATTGCCCGAAAGAGCAACGCCAGCAGAAGTTCCGCAAATGGAGTCGCAGATATGCGCTTGAGACCTGGGAGCCCATGGCGGGGGAATGCCGATATCTATTTGTACCAGACGGGATCCTTTCTTGTGTGCGGCCCATTGGCCGACAGTGGATCATCGCGCACCGTAAGCTACGGCTACATGGAGGGTTGCATGCCGTATTTTTGTGGGAAACTATTACACAATTTTCCGCTACCATTTTTACCGATAGTCCTGAAATCCGTTTTTTCACTTCGCTGTTAAAAGAACACGAACTTTTTGTAAGGCTGGTCGGTCGGGAATTTTTGTGGCCCTTGTAATTATGGGAAAAACTATGGAGCTCGAGCTTAGGGAGCTCGAGATACCCAAATTTAGAAATAGTGCTATTTGATGTACCCAAATGCATTTTGTGTTTTAAACATAGTTGTCAGGTTGGACTTTAATTGAGCTGCCAGAATATCAGCACAGCTACATTTTGCAGCACGAGATGACAGTGATGATTACAAGAAGTTCTCCATTGGGGAAGCTTCGGGATTAAAAAAATATACTTATCACTTCTCTTCTTTATAGTCAGGTTTAATTACAGTCATTTAGCTGTCCTAACGACCACATTAATACTAGTCACTACTCCAAAGCAGGACATTTTTTTTAAACTTTTTTTGGCTGCATGAATTCCATTCATTTATTTAATGGGCTTGGGAGGTAGACTATTCTATAAAATGCAATACGCTTCGACTCGATGTTGCGACATTGCTGCATACCAGACCTGTTCTCCGCATAAGTGCCCTTCCTCGTCCACGGACCACTTCGTAGGTTTAGATAGCACTAGAGTAGTCTATTATTCTTTCTTGTGGTATTTTGTGTATCTTAGCAGTCTATGAGGGTATGCAGCATTTGTTACGTAGTCGATGAGCACTTTGCGTCATTGGACCATTCTTCTATAGAGGTAAGTGGATGAACGGGATAATACTACTTAAGTTTCTACCAGTGCTGCTGTGGCTGATGAAGGAATAACCCTGACAAACACCATTAACCCTTAGACAAACACCATTTACAAAAGAAAATCAAGGAAAGCTCCAGATTTCCTACAGAGCTATAGGTATACAAGAGCGAAGCGCTTTATAAATGCTTGCCACGGTGCAGGATATCCTAAGGCGCTCCGCCGAAAAATCTAGGAAGCGCACTATTAAAGGCCCATGGCTACTTGTAAGTCAGCGAACCTCAACACTACACGATTAAGTTTTCATGTGTCAGCGTACGATTTGTTGGTCCAGCTCGCATTCAAAAACGCCTACACTTGCTCTAGAATGGGCAATTGTCGCCTCATTTAGGGTGATCGATGTATCACTCTTATTAAGCCACCGCCTAGCAAAGCTGAGGCGTAATATGGCTTCGTGATATATAACAATACATCTCCGCTGTAACTATCTGAGCGAGGCATACCGTATTCTCTTGGTCCAGGTCACGACATTACAATTCTTTGAGGGTCTACAGGCTGTAGTACATCGAGACCTTTGGATCATTTTTTGAGTACATCAAAAAGCACTATTTCTAAATTTGGGTACCTCGAGCTCGAGCTCCATAGTTTTTCCCGTAATTATGAAATCATCCCCTGAATCGACCAATAAGACCCTATCGTTAAAAAGCTGAAGAACTGAATTTTTCCGCTATTTAGGAAACGCAGAGAAATATTCAGTTACAGCTGAGATATCTCACAAAACCTGTGGGGAAACTACTGTATCAACCAGTGGCGGACGGCCCTTGCAAAAAATTAACAACTGTGCCGTACCATCCGCCTAGAAAATGAAATTCCATTGCAAGTGGTTACATGTCCAAAGCGGTGCTAGACCAGAGCAATATGAATAAAAAAATCAAAAGTGAAAATAAAAATTTAAAATTGACATGACAAATCACAATTTAAAAAGGAAAAATCGCAATGCAAAGCAGGTCTTAGCGCATTTCCCCCAAGTACCGTACTGCATGTCATCCCCGCGACCGCCGCCACCGCAGCGTGCTAGCAATGCAGCACCATCTCGTTGACCAGGCGAAAATCCACGCAATCAACGTGGCGCTTAGCCTCGCGCTCCAAGATCTTTATGCGCGTCTCGGTAATCTCGCCGCGGGGTTGGGGGCCGCCAATACTTCGCGCGACAGCGAAAGGTCGGATTTAATCCGTGCCTTAAGAACGCTGAAGCAATCCTCTATAGGGTTGCACATGGGGAAGTATGGCGCCAGGCGGAGAAGTAAAATGTCGTCGTGGTCTGCCACGTAATCCCCCGTTTGACTATGTTTTGGTGCGTTAGTTATCAAGCCCAATAACATTTTTTTACCTTCGAAATGCTCATGGTAAATTGATGTAGCCTTCATTTTCTCTTAGATTTGTCAACGAACGAGGCATTGACATCCATTCGGATGCTACCACGCTCAAGCCGAAAATGCACCAACTCAACCTCCGTTGAAACGGCACATTGGGTCCGGAGATTTGCGGGGAGCATAACCGTCGCTCGCTCACCCTTCTTCGCCCGTTTCTGCGTGCGCTTGCAATAGACGTTAAAGTTAATTTCATCATAGTACACGATGAAGTCCCCGGCTTCCATTTGGCGCCGAATGTCTTTAGCGTATTTCAAACGCTCCGTCTTTTTGCTTCGTTGCTACAGGTCATCGGCTCAACTGGCACCTTATTAAAAACACAATAATTGGCTAATCATTACATATTTGACATAAAATGGGTACGTTTCGGCGCTACTTGATTCATCGTGTACAGCTTACCGATCAGCTTGTCAAATATTATGGACGTACTGATGTCGACGCCAAAGTCAAACATGATCATGCCCCTCATCGTTCGCAGCGTGTAGGTACAATTGTCGTTGAAATAGTCTTCGAGTGCGGATACGACCTATGTCGTGAGGCCAATGACAGCAAGTGCCCCTGATTTTCATCATCCGGCTACGCCATGGTGTGTCTTCAACTGGTGTCTACGACTATAGATGTATTACTAGCTAACGCAAGAGCAATCCTGTTTTTCGGCAAGCTGGCGGCACTTGTGATGACCCCTTCCGAAGTCAGTCGCGTGTGGTGCGTATGACGTTTACACTGCAGATTGTTGCTAAAGCTATTCAAGAGGACGCATTGGTCCGCGATGAAAGGTGTGCATCTTGCGTCTGTCCTAAATGCATTCTCGGCCTGGCGGAGCTGGTCAAGAGCCACACCAAGACTACACGACAGATGTGCGGGCTACAATAGAGGAACCATTCCCTGGAACTATTCCTGCTAGTGTAATTGTGTCTTCGGAGTTTAATACCAGGCTCCGCGTTTTCGCGGGATGTTTCGAATGTGCACGTGCTCGAAGACAAGCGATTTATCGTGTACAGCGTACCGATCAGCTTGTCAAATATTGTGGACGTACTGATGTCGACGCCAAAGTCGTACATGATCATGTTCCTCATCGTTCGCAGCGTGTAGGTACAATTGTCCTTGAAATATTCCTTCGAGTGTGGATTGTGATCTATGGCGTTTGATGCCATTGACTGCGCGTGCCCCTGATTTCCATCATCCGGCTACGCCATGGTGTGTCTTCAACTGGTGTCTACGACTATAGATGTATTACTAGCTAACGCAAGAGCAATCCTGTTTTTCGGCAAGCTGGCGGCACTTGTGATGACCCCTTCCGAAGTCAGTCGTGTGTGGTGCGTATGACGTTTACACTGCAGATTGTTGCCAAAGCTATTCAAGAGGACGCATTGGATCGCGATGAAAGGTGTGCATCTTGCGTCTGTTCCTAAATGCATTCTCGACCTGGCGGAGCTGGTCAAGAGCCACACCAAGACTACACGACAGATGTGCGGGCTACAATAGAGGAACAATTCCCTGGAACTATTCCTGCTAGTGTAATTGTGTCTTCGGAGTTTCATACCAGACTCCGCGTGCCCCTGATTTCCATCATCCGGCTACGCCATGGTGTGTCTTCAACTGGTGTCTACGACTATAGATGTATTACTAGCTAACGCAAGAGCAATCCTGTTTTTGGGCAATCTGGCGGCACTTGTGATGACCCCTTCCGGAGTCAGTCGCGTGTGGTGCGTATGACGTTTACACTACAGATTGTTGCCAAAGCTATTCAAGAGGACGCATTGGTCCGCGATGAAAGGTGTGCATCTTGCGACTTTTCCTATATGCATTCTCGACCTGGCGGAGCTGGTCAAAAGCCACACCAAGACTACACGACAGATGTGCGGGCTACAATAGAGAGACAATTTCCTGGAACTATTCCTGCTAGTGTAATTGTGTCTTCGGAGTTTAATACCAGACTCCGCGTTTATGCGGGATGCTTCGAATGTGCACGTGCTCGAAGACAAGCGATTTATCGTGTACAGCGTACCGATCAGCTTGTCAAATATTGTGGACGTACTGATGTCGACGCCAAAGTCGTACATGATCATGTTCCTCATCGCTCGCAGCGTGTAGGTACAATTGTCGTTGAAATACTTTTCGAGTGCGGATACGACCTATGGCGTGAGGCCATTGACAGCAAGTGCCCCTGCTTTCCATCATCCGGCTACGCCATGGTGTGTCTTCAACTGGTGTCTACGACTTTAGATGTATTACTAGTTAACGCAAGAGCAGTCCTGTTTTTCGGCAAGCTGGCGGCACTTGTGATGACCCCTTCCGGAGTCAGTCGCGTGTGGTGCGTATGACGTTTACACTGCAGATTTCTGCCAAAGCTATCAAGAGGACGCATTGGTCCGCGATGAAAGGTGTGCATCTTGCGACTTTTCCTAAATGCATTCTCGACCTGGCGGAGCTGGTCAAGAGCCACACCGAGACTACACGACAGATGTGCGGGCTACAATAGAGGAACAATTCCCTGGAACTATTCCTGCTAGTGTAATTGTGTCTTTGGCGTTTAATGCTAGACTCCGCGTTTTCGCGGGATGTTTCGAATGTGCAAGTGCTCGAAGACAAGCGGTTCATCGTGTACAGCTCCGATCAGCTTGTCAAATATTGTGGACGTACTGATGTCGACGCCAAAGTCGTACATGATCATGTTCCTCATCGTTCGCAGCGTGTAGGTACAATTGTCGTTGAAATACTCTTCGAGTGCGGATACGACCTATGTCGTGAGGCCAATGACAGCAAGTGCCCCTGATTTCCATCATCCGGCTACGCCATGGTGTGTCTTCAACTGGTGTCTACGACTATAGATGTATTACTAGCTAACGCAAGAGCAATCCTGTTTTTCGGCAAGCTGGCGGCACTTGTGATGACCCCTTCCGAAGTCAGTCGCGTGTGGTGCGTATGACGTTTACACTGCAGATTGTTGCCAACGCTATTCAAGAGGACGCATTGGTCCGCGATAAAAGGTGTGCATCTTGCGACTTTTCCTAAATGCATTCTCGACCTGGCGGAGCTGGTCAAGAGCCACACCAAGACTACACGACAGATGTGCGGGCTACAATAGAGGAACAATTCCCTGGAACTATTCCTGCTAGTGTAATTGTGTCTTCGGAGTTTCATACCAGACTCCGCGTGCCCCTGATTTCCATCATCCGGCTACGCCATGGTGTGTCTTCAACTGGTGTCTACGACTATAGATG